CGCGTGTATGACAGGAGTGTAGTTCTTCAGCTCTTCAACATCAAATCCCGTATTGTACAGCAACTTAATCTGCACGAGCAGAAGAAACTAAGAAAACTTTCAAGTTCTCAGGTAAAAGCCGTACTAGCAGATGGTACGAACCTGTTTAAATATGGTTGATTTTCCCGACTCCCCAGAACCTGAGAGATCCAAAACTTATTTCCTGGTCTACAAAAGAGAGCAGAAGTCCACACATACCGAGGAGGAGGAGCTTATACACGTTTTTCTCGATTCGATCGTCTTGCTTGAGCTGCCGGGTTAATTCACGTTCCTACGTCAAACAAAGCCCACGTTACAAAGGAAATACTATGGTATCTAATACCCGCTCTTCGTCCTCCTCTTGTGCCACTGGTTGGCCTTTGCTACACAGCGACCCCATCCGCGCAGCTATGGCTAGATTCCAAACATCTATTCGCCCAAGCCCTGCAAAGTTCCAGCCAATCGATCGATCAGAGACACGCTATCCTGTAGCTCCGAATAGAAAGCAAGATTTAGCCGCCAGATGCTCTCCCCAGCTCGATCGCCAATGCCTGGAATTTCATCGCGCACAGCGAGCGAGAGAGAAAATGCTGGCCGGATCGATCGAAAGAAACAGAGCCAGACCTGGAATCGTCGGTGGCAACCAAGCGCTGCGCACGAAGCCCGCCAGGAGCGCCAAGAAATAACCTAAACAAACCTATACGCGAAAGAGGAAATTGCGGGGCGTCGCATGAACAAGTCCGCCTCCATAGCCGAGTACGGACTGGAAAACAAAAATCGGCGCGTACGGACATCCAGTCAAGGTCAAACTGCCGGTAAAAGCATTTAACACAACAGTACGTTTGGTTTTTATAAGTAATCCAGTTTAATATAAACACTGACTCGTTCGTCTCCCTGCTTTAATGGATGGCTTTGATCATCGTCTCGCCATCGCTAACCTTGAGCTCCGAAGGAACCTTTTCCACCTTGAGGACTTTCACCACACCATCGTCCACAAATGCTGACCACCTGCGTAGTTTATTTCTCAAGAATGTCAAAAGCAAATACCGAAAGAGATTTCTCCACCTCTGCGAACGAAGGCCAAGCAGCGCCTTGCTCAAATCACACTCCAAGCCCAGAGATTTGTGGAAGCCACCGTCAAAATCGGCGAAGAACTGGATCTGGGAGCGTTCCAAACTCTTAGAAATAAGCGCACGTAGAGGAGAAGGAAAAAGAAAGCTAACCTTGCCTTTTGCGTTCATCTTCTCGGCCCAGGCGTTGATGGTGTAGGGGTCGTTCACCGCGACGCAGATGACGGAGTCGACGCCCTTGGATTTCAGCTGCTCGACGTTCTTGGTGTAGCTGGGGACGTGACCCTTTGTGCAAACACCCGTGAACGCGCCCTGAATGGAAATGGAGTGAATTGTAAGTTACGATCTCTTTTTTCTTCTTCTTCTGTTTAGTTTTGCTTGTTTCCTCGAAGAACAACAAAGACGAAAGAATAACTTACTGGAGTACCGAAGATGACAACACGCTTGTCCTGAAAGACAAAAAAAGGGGATAAGAGAACATGAAGAGAACAGGAAACTTCTAAATGTCTAGAGCTAGAAGACTTTGTCTAAGGGATTGATGAGATACTAGCACAAGAACTCATGAAAGTTCATAGCAAGATTAACGTATTGCTAGCGAATGCAAAATAGCAATACTGACCTTGAAAATCTGGGAGAGCGGCGTTGTGGCGAACTGGGATTCGAGACCCTGGTCCCAGGTCCGCGCTTCCTGTAATGCGAGGTCGGAATCTAAGTCGAGGCTGGAAGAGACTGTGACGACGGACCTCGAGCGCGCGGACAATGTGGATTGGATCCGCAGCGCTCGTTGCCGCATTGCCACAAATGCGCGCGCCATCTTGACCTAATTTAGTCCTGGTTAGGGTAAGAGTGTTAAAATATTTTTAAACATTTTTCTTTAATTATTGTATTTTGCATTTTTTAAAGTGCTATTATAAGGTTTAAGGTATGGGATTTTGATTTTGTATATAAATTAAAGTTTTCTGGGTAATAGAATATGCATATTTTTATACTCTATGCACTTACTCTAATTATCCTTAAAGAATGCTTGAATTTGTGCTTTTTGTTGAGATTTAACTCTTGCATTATTATTATATACTTTCTTACATTATTTTCTTTCTTTCTTCCTCCTTATAAACTCTTGAATTTAAGTTTCTTATTAAATTACTTAGGCTAGTGTTTCTAAAATTAAAAGCATTTAGCCCCAAATATCCTAATATTTTTAACCAATTGAAAAAAAGTGCACTTTTTCATAGGTTGTTTCTTTTTATATTTGAACTTTTATAAATTTTTTCTTGAAACTTTTTTTTTAATTGGTTACAATTCACCACACTCTTTTATAAATTCATGCTCTCGTGAACAGAAGTTAAAAGTTGTAACTCTCTCGAGAGTTTTACCTTTTTTTTTAATTTTGTTTTATATTTAAACCTTTATGAATTATTTTTTTGAGTTTTTTTTTCCTTTCTTACAATCCATTACACTTCTTTGTAAATTTATACCCTCGTGAATGAAAGGTGATAACCATAATTCTCCCAAAAGCCTTATTTTCTTTATTTTTTTATATTTGAATCTTTATGGATCATTTATTAAGTCATTCTTTTTTATTACTTACAATCCATCACACTTTTTTATAAGTTTATGCCCTAGTGAATGGAAGTTGAGAATCTCATCCTCTTGACATCCTACCCTTTAGATTGAGCCTAACTAGAACAAATTAAACTTCTAAATGTTAATCTTAATATATGGTATAATTTGCCTATTCAACCAATAGAATCAAACAAAAAACCATTCTAATACAAATTATAAGTTCATGAATTTATGCTTCTCAAAAGGTCATTTAGGCTTAATACTACTTAAATCTAAGAATGCTTAACTCTAAATATTTTAACCATTTGAAAAAAAAGGTGCACTCTTATTCATTAGCACTTTCCTTTATATTTGAAATTTTATAAATCATCTCTTAAGTCATTCTCCTTGGTTATTACACTCTTTTAACTTTAAAGAATCAATTAATATAGTTATTTAATATTATATGGTTGTACAAGTAGATAGTGGTGTTCATAGCATGTAAAGTAACTCTTCATGATTTTGTTGTCAATACTCATGTATCTAAATTTCTTTTATAGGAATATGAAGGATGATATATATAATTGGTTTGATCATTTTATAGTAATAATGTTTGGCATCTGTGAAAGTTTCCCATATATTTCCAAAAGATGACATTATAGTGGTACAATAGTTTAAATGGTATGGTTTGGAGTTTTCTCCTAAATATCTTTAAAATGCATATTTAAACATGTTAATAATTGTAGCAATGCCTTTTAGCAATTGCATCATCTCAATCAAAAATTATTTGAGTTAATTATGCAATTAAGTGTTTGCTTTCAAAGTCTTTTACTTTATGCAACACCAAATATGTTAGAAAGAATTAAATTAGATATGTTGTAAGTAGCACTTTATTAAGATTTTGTAAGACTTGTGAATGCACTTGCTCTAACCACCTTTGACAATGCTCTTTCACTCGCACAATGCTATAGGATATTTTGTCTTTCACTTATAATTGCATATGCTTTTACTCCACTTTTTATAGGTTCTATTAGTTCAAGTAAAATTTGCAAAACACTTAAGTTATGTATAAGTAAAAAAAGAATGGTGCTACAACTCTCATCATTTGTTGAGTATAAAGTGGATGACTTAGTTTATTTTTTTAAGTTTACAATACATAATTTGTCTAACTGGCTTCTTAAGGGACTATATCAAGTATTGGACCATAAGTTTGTAAGGTTTGGTATGACATTCAACAAGCTAATCTTCCAAAAATTATACATGTATAGTGATTAAAATGTTTTGTATAAAGGGATTATGAATAAGTTGCACTCCTTACAAATCTATTAGTGCCTCATTCTAATATTCTTTCAAATCCTCACTTATTAACAAAAGAACTTTTATTGTCTTCTATCTTGAGGATGATGTGAAATCTTTATGTATAGTTATGATGTTGTATACTATTATTATTATAGTGGGATTTTGATGATTAATTTCAATCTAGACCATGGATATAAGGTATGGTTTTGGGGTTAATTGAATATGCATATAGTTTGTGTTAAAGTTTATAATGTGATCAATTGATTGTGTACAGTTTATAATAAGCTACTATGAGAGAAAAGAAAACTCAAATTCAAAAATACTGAAGTGCTTTAACTGAATTCTAACTAAAACACATAAAAAGGAATAACAGTTAAAGAATATCAAATCAAAGTTAATATAGCTTTTCTGAAATGTAGGAGATTAATTAAATCTTACCCCATGATGCACAGAAGGGTTTCTTATATAATGATTCCCAAATTAACAAACTTCAAATAGTGTTCTAGAAAAAATCATTACCTACATCTAGATTTAATGTTGGAAAGTTTCACATTAGATTATATGAGTTTCATTTATAAGAATTGAGTGAAGAGGACACATACCCTAAATCGTTCAAAACAAGGTCATTTGTATGGAATTTTCATTAATAGTATTTGGTTATCTAGCCAATAACCAAATTATTATTCTCCTACTAATACACTATAATAAGAATAAACTCAAGAGACATGATGCTTCTAACAAGGAAAGAAGAAAAAAGAAACTACTTCACTTTGATTAAAATTGTTGTACTGATTTCCTGTAAGCTCAATATTATTATAAGCATTTTAAGTAGTTATTTCTAGAAGCTTAGATTTATTTAGTTTACTATACAGATAATTTAATTCGATTGAAACAAAGCTTGAAGGAAATGACTAAAATAGTTAAGTTATTTCAAACTTTGTGCAGCATATTCCATTCTAGAATCTAGATGTGCAAACATAAAAAGCAACAATGAGCCAGATATCTTTTAGGTGTTTGAACCTGACTCATATAGTGCTCGTTGTGGAAGCGTGTTATTGTTGTGATCAAGTATTGTCAGAATACTAGAGCACATAAAAATGTTTAAAAAGACACTCCTCACAAAAAAGTGTAATAATAAACATAGTAGAATCACAAAAAGAATGATCTGGGTTTTACGTACACTCCTGGAGAAACTGAAAAAACCTCCAAACTCTGTCCAACTCCCACGGGGAAAATTTTTTCCTCTCACAAAATGTAAGCTGCCTTCTCTTTGGAGACGACGGGAAGAAGTTTAGCGAGGATTGGCTCGTAGTGATCGCCACCAGCACCACACCAACCTGTCAAACTTCCCGCTCAGACCATTCAAAGCAAACACACGGAAAAAAGAAACAAGAAAAACGAACCTGTTCCCCTCATAAGTAAGAAAACGGGCGGATGACTGATCTCTTGCCGCGGGGAGTGCGGAAGAAAAAAAATCAAGCCTTCAGAGTTCTCGGCGCTGCCATCTTTCCCATGAACTTGCACCTAAAGTAAGAAAGAGAAAACTTTTAATACCACCAAAGGATGACAAGTGTGATGTTCTTACCACAAACAACTGTCGCTGGAACTCGCTCGCCAGTGCTTGGATGGCGATGTCATCTCCAAAGGCCGCAGCTTTCCCCTCGGCGTTCATCTCCACGCTGAGCAGCCCCTCCTCGGTGTACAGCAAAGTCACAATGTCATACTCGTCCGTGGCCTGACCGGAGATGGACATATACTTCGCCCAGCTGCAAGCGTCGCACACACGTAGGCAATGCTCGTTGTACACTGATTCTATCGCTGACTCCCTGCAAAGAACAAGAAAAAGGTAGTTTTTCACAGAAGAAACGATCGGGAAAAGAAATAAAAACCTCACCTTGACATGCCAACTTGGATCATCTCCTCGATCTCGGTCTCCAGGGCCTCCCTGTCGGTTTTCTTCGCCAGGAGTTTCACCTCCTGCACGACGTGAACGCCCCAGCCCGTGGACATGTCCGGGGAGTAGAGATTCTTGATGATCCTGTCCAATCTCTCCTTCTCCTCCGCATCCGCGGCCTCGTAGTCGTCCACAAACCTGCGCACAGTCGCGAGCCGGATCTCCACCGGCGCCTCCTTGAGCTGCATTGCTCGCTGGACCGCCGTGAAAAGGCAGTTCCCATCCGCCTCCACGTCCCCTCCATACTGCAAGCCATACACCTTGGCGACTGGCAAGCTCGGGTGCTGCCAGAAAACTCCCCGGCTCGCAACCTTTTGGAGAACTCCCAGCTGCTGAGCGTCCAGCCCCCCCACGCTGTCCCAAGAACAAGAAGAACACGGCGGATTTCCTCCACCGGAATCGCAAGAATCGCTGCCGCTTTCCCACTTCCACGACGCCGCCGCCGCCTCCACGGAACAACGCGACGGCGCAACGACGGCGGCAGCGGCGGCGGCGCTACGGCATTGCTGAGCTACCAGTCCCCCTTCCACACCAACGGGCCTTCCCATGGATCGACCAGCGCAGATTATCACTGCCAAAATCCGAGCTTCCTAGCCGCCCCGCGCATAGATCCGAGCTGCCAAGACCTAGATCTAGCCCTCCCGGCCTGGGACTAGACAATGCAAGGCCGCATTGGAGCACCGAGCTTACCAGCACAGAGCGCCCGCTTCGCCATTTCCCCCGGCCCTAGGTTAGAATATTCTGCCCGTACTCGCAATTCAGCGAATATCCCCCTCGGGGTGTACGTTGCGGGAATATCCGCCACGGGCATATCCGTTTTGGCGGGAGGAATGTCCACGCGGCATGTTTTTTAAAATTCTTTCGATTCAAATTTAAAAAGGGGGCGCCCCGTGTGTGCATCTTCGTCACAAGAGCTCCAGGAACGACAGATGGGAGTCGCGACGAGCCACGCCATTCTCGAACAGCTGAGGCAGCGACGCGATCCTGGGCAGATTTACCAGAAGATCGCCGGATGATCCATGCCGCGTGAAGCACTGCTTCACCGATTCGTGCAAACCACCGCTGCCGCTGCCAAAATCACCGCTGCTGCCGCTGCCAAGGCTTTCATCCATCTTGAGCGATGGCTTCTCGTCCAGCTCGAACAGAACGCCGCTGTTCCTGCCGCCGCTCTCACTGTTGTACGCGACGAAGCTCTTCTCGTCGGAGCCGTAGCCTTCGCTGCCGTGGGCCGGATCGGCCGAGCTCCAGTCCGAGACCGAGTAAGTCGCCGGCACCCAGCCATCCTCCACGAACCCGGACATGGAGCTCACTCTAAACATGCCGCGCTCCGGGGACGGCTTGGCGGCGCTGGTCTCCCCGAGTAAGATCTGGGCGATCTCGTTGAGCACCTCCTTGTCGGTGAGAACCAGCACCCGCGGCTTCTGCTCGAGAGTGTCGTCGTCGTCGTCCTCCTCCTCGTCGATCTTGTCACTCGGGGTCGCTGCCACCAAAGCCTGTGAGTCGACACTACGAAGCGGGCACTCCTCTGTATCACTGTCATCGCTACCCCTCGATTCCATCACTGGGAGAAGAAAAACGAAGGAGTTTTGTCTCAGACCCACGCCACTGGACTGCTCGCTACTGCCTTACCTGAGCTTGGAGAGCAGCGGCTTTCTAGCGGCAGTTCTAGCTTCACTCTGGGACACATCAACGGCTGCTCACTCTCCACTTGCTTAGACTTGGAATCACGGGTTACCTCCTGATGCAGCTCATCGTTCGGCGCGGGGCCGGCCAGGGCCTTCAAGCGGGCGTCGCACTGTAGGAGCTTCTCGTAGTGCTTGTTGAGGACACCTTCCGGAAACTGCAAGACATGTCGCCTGGAGAGAAAGAAAAGGTGGTGATGAGATTTTGCGTCATTTGTAAGCGAGAGTGATTGATACTAACTTGCATATTGTCGCTTCGCCTCCCGTGAAATCGGAGGTGGCCTCCCACAAGGTGTGCTTGCGCGGTTGCGGGTTGGTCTCCTTGAAGAACAAAGGCGGCCGCGATACCTGTTGGAACATAGAATTAGTTTCTAGTGGAACGTCGCGATGGCGTACCTCGACTTCTAAGATTCCAAGTTGGCCATCTCCGTAGCTGGCTCGGATCGCTGATATATCAGACCATTGAAGCTCAATTTTGCTTTTGAGGCCGGTTTCCAGGACTTCCCAGACAAGTTTACGTTTCGCGTAGTAGCATTTGGCGACCACATCACCCTCGTATCGAGAAACTCGCTGAGAGAAAGCAGAAAAGATCGTAAGCTTCCAACAAGCAAGTCGAGAGCTATCACCGACCTCCCAAGAGCCGATCTTCAGTGTGGAAGCAGGAAAGTTGGACGCCTTGAGTTTGCCTTGGGACTGGTTGGCATTTGGAATACCCGATCGATTGGCTATTCCTTGAGACGACCCATCGTTCAGCAGCGAGTCGCTGCTCCCGCAACCTTGACTAATTGTCATGGAAACGAGATCAAGAAAAGATGGGGTCTTCTTGAGCGTCAAACCCAGCGGACTCGGTTCGTCCAAGGGGTGATACGAGTGAGCCGACACAGTGAAAGGCACTCTCGTCCTCAGCCGACCTTCAAAAGAACTTTCGCCGGACACAGTGGTAGCCCATGTTTTGGTCTGTAGACACAGCACAAAAAAAACGAGAATGACCACTTCCACTAGAGTAAAAAAGAATGAAAAAAAAAAGAGAGAAAGGAACTAACCTTGAATGGAAGGTCTGAGAGCTTGTGGCGCTTGGGCCCGGGAGCGAGCTCCAAATCCTCATCGTTGTCACACCTCTTCTGCTGGAAACTAACTCCTACGGGCACCTTGAACTCGCCCCCACTTTTCAATTGCAAGAGCATGTCCCCAATTTTGCCCAAGGCGCCTCGATCTGAGCTCCTCTGCCCGAAATGCAGCCCTTGCCAGCTGAGGCTGCTGCAATTCCCTGTCTCCGGCTCCCCACCGCCGTCCACAAGCCGCTGCACCATAGCCGCCTTGCACAAATCCAGTCGCTTCCTCTAGGATTGATCACACGCTACGCTACCTCATCGCTCCTCCAGGGCCTTGCCAAGATCCACGAAAACCTCGCCGATCTGCGCTCTGATTTACCCAGCCCCAGCCGAGAATCGCGACAGCGGCCGGCGGCGCATCGCCACGTCCAAGAAATCGCAACGCGCCAATGGAAATCCCACCTCGCCGATGCGCGACACAAAACCCTAGCGCTCTCCGCCCAGGAGGAGACTAGAGAAAGAAGGGAAAGAGAAAGAAGGGAATCGCGAGCCCGCCTCTTGCGCCCTGTAAATTATAAAAACAAATGGCGTGGCCGGGCTCTCTCTCTTTTCCCCCTTTTGTTGTTTCTGTTGAATGCGGTGGCCATGTGCCCCATGCCATGCCCATGGGCGAATATGCCCAGTGAATATCCCGGTATTCAATAATTGAGCAGGGGTTTGTGCAACACCGGTACCGACAATGAGCATTTGACACGTGATTCTGAAATGTGGCCCCCAGTTGGCCACCACCGTACCAAAACCACTAACACACCAACATTGCGCTTGGGCCCCATGGCCGATGGCCCCTTTGTCGCCTCTTCACATATTCCTAAAGCCCACGTTTCTCAGAGCTTTCTAAGGGACGTGTCACTGTGGCGAAGCTGCGCAGACGCTTCCAGCCCGCCGGCGAATATGCGCCCCATTGACGTCATTGCGATGACGTCACCGCGCCGGATGCCAAATGCCATGCTTGCCATGGCATGGATGGGTACATTCAGTGTCCCCATGGGCGGCTTATCTGAGTGGGAGTACGGACGGATCGCAATGATGACGTGGATGGGCCACCGGGTCATGCATTATGCGCGGATGGCCATGTATGGGTCCCATGCGCGGGGTGCATTGTAACTAGCCCTAGGCTCCCCTGTCGTGTACGGCGGATAGAAATGTGGATATTTCGCTAGCAAAATCCGGTGGGATATGATCCGAGTGTGATGGAGCCACGCTGGGCCATGCTCCAAAATCTAGGTTTGTGGCGCACAATGGGCGTGCCAGTCAAGCACAAAGAACTCGCGCTTTGCTTTGCTCGGGTGGATCGATCCATGGCTAGGAAAAATCTTCCAATCTTCCAATTCAAGTATTCCAAGTCTTAATACTTGGAAGATTGGAATTTGTCCCAAGGACGTTTCTCCTTTGTCAAACGCTTACGCCGCTGGAGTTGTATTTTTTTCGGTCAGGAATGGTCCTGGAAATATGCTGGAAACTTCACGGCCGTGAATCGTTTGATTGAAAAAGATGGATTTTTTTCGTCCAGCCTTTGACCTGGATCACAAATAAACGTGTGTTGGGTGATACGACGACCGATCTTCAGTAACTGGAAAGGAAACATCAATAGATTTTTAGATAGATCATCGCAAGGAAATGTTTCATGCTTACGTTATGTTAATGCTTGTCAAAGCAGTAGAGATGAGATCCTTCTATCTTGCGTTTTTCCTGTATTCCCAGGGCTTTACAGGATTTGGAAAATGCCACAGTCCAACGCGTGCTCGTCTTGCCTCTTGCTCCCACTGAAAAAGTTTATAGCTCGATTTAAGCCTGCGAATTTTATCGTATCGTACCTCTGAGAGCTCTGGCCGGTGATCGTACTGAGAGTAGTGCCAGACGCAGCCTCTCTTTAGCAGCTGTTCCTGTGATTGGAGAAACAAACATAAAAACCTTGGGTCGAAAGCGATCAATAAAATACCTGAAGAAATCCGTGGCTAGTGTGCACGTCTGCTACTAAACGACCGTATTGGTCAGCTGTATAGACGTATACTCGTAGCTGCTGGCCTTCGACTAGTTTAATCAGCATTGCTTTGGATTCCGGTCCGTGAGGCATGCTGCTTTCAGGCGCGTCCACGCCCCTGTATTGAAAAAAAAGAAAAGATTTCACGAGAATGATACGATGGCTTACCTCAAGCGAATGCGATACTTGTGAGTAAGAACTTCGCTCCCGCGGCCATCGAACACCCTGCAACGAAGAGATTAGGACTCGTCCAAAGCAATCAGCGAATTCTGCCTGAGAGTAAGAAATCAAACTTGTAGCCTGCATCGAAAATCTGCTGCTGCAACATATCTGCCTTCTTGTAGTCCCTATTTTCTCTCGCTCGGCGTCGCTTTTCTACAGCGTTAAACACCGAGCGTGGCACAGCTCTTTCTTCCCGGTCATCTTTGCTCACGTCCACAAAGACGGTGATGGTGTCACCGTCTGCTACACTGTGACCTTCCACCTGGGACGAGAGCAAACAAAAGATCGAATGCTCGAGAAACGAACAAGGAAAGCGAACTCATATTAAAAAACTTACTGGCAAAGTAGTGAATTCGTATTGTACGCCTTTGGGCCAAGTGGGATACAGAGCCTGGATGGAAGGGTTGGACGGAGTTGGCCCAACAACGGGATGAGACAAGCCATAAAATCGCAAAAGTCCCTTCACCAAAAGTGTCCACACAAGATACACGTAAGTATGGTTTTTAAACAGAGAGCATTGACTTACTTGGAGATCACTCTTGCGTCGTGTTTGCAAGCTTTGCGTGATCAACTGGGTAGCCTCGGCCGCATTTCTTGGAGGAGGCTGCGAACCCTTCCACGCAGACAACAATTTCTTGTACCTGGGAGCGAGAGCGAATTCCTCTAAGCTTTAAACGCGAATTTTCTTCTCAAAACGCGTACCAGATGACTTGAGTCGCCCTTGTCGCCTGGACGAAGCTAGCTAGGCCTTCAGGGACCTGTGAAACAGCAAAATATCACGAATTCCACAGCCTAGGAGCGATAGATCTCGCTCTGGCGACAAGATTTCGATCCATACCTCGCCCGTGGCGTCGAAATGGAGAATGTCGCGCGCAAATGCGGCGAATCCCGCCTCGCTCGACGCGCCATAGCCGGCGTGGTGATCGCCGCCCCCGTAGCCAGCGGCAGCCTCGTGAGCTTGCTGCTTGATCGCATCGCACAGGCAAGCGCTAAGCTGCCTCAACGCATTGCCCATAATTTGGCGGTAATATGAGCTTTGAGAGCTAGGGTTTATGAGTTCCAGGCTCTAGATCTGTGGCGCTGGTGGTGGAATGGCGGCGATCTTGACGGCGCTTGCGGCATTTGCCCGGTATGGCTGCGATCTCGACGGCGCTTGGTGCATTTGCCCGGGATCACAAGGGAAATCGAATGCAAAGAAGAAGAAAAAGAAGGAAGGCATGGGCCGCATGGCAGCGAGCGAAGTTTTGGATGGATTTTCACCAAACGAGTTCCTTGATTCGTGCCATGATTGTGGGGATTGATTTGCAAGGATAGCAACAACCGGGTTCCATTTTCCAGGTAGTGTTGCCTGCTCTCTACGCTCGCAGCTAAATTCCTTTCTTTTAGTTTTCTAGCAAAGCTTTGCAATGCGTGACAACGACGAGGAGAAGCCGGCAATGTCTCATCCCAGCCCAGCGTTGCTCGTCGGGCATTGTCCATGGTAAGCTTCAAATGGTTTATTTTTTTCCTAGCTCTTCTTAGGTGCAATAGAAAGGACTCGAGTGTGACCATCGGGATTGCAAACTATAGATGGCGGATCCACAAGGTATGAAAGCTTCGCTTTTCATCTTCCTTTCGTGGCCATCCCTTGTTGAAGTACTGATTTTGTTTTTCCTCACGTTGCCATGCAGTGCTTGCTCGTCCGCCGGAGCTCTTACTTCGAGCGCGTGCTAGACACGATCGACCAAGACGAGCATTTGCTACCGCCGGGCTTCCCAGGCGGCGCCGCGGCGCTGGATGCGGTGGTGAGCTTCTGCTTCGACTCGCGAGTGCCGGTGATGAGGCCCTGGAACGTCGCTGCGCTGCGGTGTGCCGCCGAGTTCCTTGGCATGGACGAGCGGCGCAGCACGTCAAACTTGAGCAGCAAAGCCGACTCCTACCTCGTCCGCGTCGTGCTGCGAAGCTGGCCTCACACGCTGCTCGTCCTCGCCGACTGCTACAACGCGTTGCTTCCGCTGGCCGAGGAACTGGGAATCGTCGGAAAGTGCTTAGAGGCTCTTGCGACGTTGATCGTCACCACCATCGGCAGCAGCAACACCAGTGATGGTGGCGACGATGATAGGACTTGGTGGCTGGAGGATATAGTGCGAATGCCACCTGTTTTCTTCGGGAGGATGGTGAGATGCTTGAGAAGCAAAGGAGTCTGCGAGAGGTTCGTTGGCGAGCTCATTGTCAAGTGGACGGAGATGTGGCTCTTTAGCAGCAGCAGTAACACCAGCGGCGAGAACGACGACAAGAATGACCAGCCGCTAACTCTCACCAAGTCGCCTTCGACGGTTTCATCGCTTACGTCCTCGCTCGATGGTGTGGCAGCTGATCCGGATTGTGCTGAACGGTGCTTGGATTTTGCGCTGGAGAGGATAGTTTCCAACGACGATGGCATGGAACTGGCGAGCTCGAGGACGTGCTCGTATTCTTCGTCCTGCGAGCAGGATCACGAGGAAGAGTCGAGGGTGAACGTATCTCCGGATCTCCAACTTAGCTGCAAGCCGAGAGTAACTCACACGAGCTCGCCGGCTGGGAGTACTACGGCCTTAGAGAAGCTGGGACTTTTGGAAGCCTTGGCTGGGATACTTCCTTACGAGCGGACAGCACTTCCGGTCAGCTTCCTCTTTCTGCTCCTCCGGTATGCCTTTGCGATGGATGCGAGCTCCGAATGCAAGTCTCAGATCGAAACGAGGATCTCCCTGCAGCTGGAGAATGCTACACTCGACGACTTTCTACTGCCGTTCAAGTCGCCCACGAAAGAGAACTGTGAGAGGAACTTGGAGCTGGACAGCATGAAGGCGATCGTAGCTCGGTTTCTCACTCAGCAGCAGCGTAACATTCTGAGCGCCAACAGCGAGCACCAGCTTCTCTGCCGCGGCTCGAGCGGTTCTCCGAATGCTATCCAGCAGCAGCAAACGGTGAGCTCGGTCGCACAGGTTTGGGACCAGTATCTCTCGGAGATTGCATGCGACGGGAAGATCTCTCCTCAGAAGTTCTCCGAGCTGGTGGAAGTTGTCCCTGCCTATGCTCGCGCCAACCACGATCAACTTTACAAGGCTATTCATACGTTCTTAAAGGTATGCTCGTGTTTTCTTGGTCGACTTCGTTGTTTCATGGGGTTTTCGTTTACAGGCACACGTTGATGCGTCCCAGCATGAACGAGCAGCAGTCTGCCGAGCTCTAAACTGCCTGAAGCTGTCACAGGAATCGTGCATTCAGGCCGTCCAGAACGAGCTGATGCCACTCCGGACGATAATCCAAGCTATGTTTATGCAGCAGCTCCAGACCCGCAATGCTATCAACAGTCACCTGCGACCAGGGGGAGGATTACACCGCAGCCCCTCTCCAATCCAGCAGCAGCAGCAGCAAATGCGACTTAACCATTTTTCCGAAAAGGTTGTCATCGAAGGCCTCTTAGAGACCAACACGAGGCTGCAGGGCCTGGAAGAAGCGATGGCTCAGATGAGGAAGAGCTTGCGCGAGTCGTCGGCAACTAGGCTGAGTGACTTATTCGCTTGCAACGACAAAGAGGTGGTGAAAAACACCCGCAACGATCAACACCAGGTCCAGGACAACGCAAGCAGCTGTAGGAGCAGCAGCGCGAGTAGTTCACAGCGATCGCAAAAGAGCAGCAGTAGCAGCAGCAGCAAGAACTGGAAGAGGAAGTTCTTCCAGAGGCTCAGAGGCCCCAGAGGTGGCGGCGGTGGCAGTAGCAAGGGAGTTGCCAGAGTCGCACGAGTGTTCCAAAAGATGGGAATTTGCCAAGCTGCCAGTAGGAGCTTTCCGGCCAGCAGCTTCACCGAGCTGCCGTACTGCGTATCAGGCGGAGCTCCAGCGCCACCGTCGACGCCGACCGGCTGCATTCCCATTCCTCCTCTGGACACACAAGAGAACAGCACCGCCACCAAAAACTCGAACTCTCCGGCGGTGATGAAGCAGCAAAAGAAGTCCAGCTGGGACGATGGCGAGCTGATGAAGCAACGGCACCAGCGTCACCAGCAACACCACCACAAAAAGCACTCGAGGCAGCACTCGGTTGCTTGACTCCACACACAGGTACTTCTTCGTTTACTTTTATTTCTTCTCTTCTAAAGTTTTAGATCACAGGACCAAAGTCGACCATAACTTCCGGCAGGTATAAAATATAAAGTTTTTCCTTTATTGTTTTCCGAACATTGTGTTTTCATCTCAGGGTATTGGATGTTTCTTGAACCATTTCGTCAAGTTCCTTTTGGTTCTCGTCTTTTATATGGTTAGCTTGCTTTTGCTTTTCTTTCACTGACAAGGCTCCCGTGCTCGATCACGAAAAGCCTTCCAGAATCCGGAGCATCAAACTTTTATATGTTCAACCAGGCTGTGAAACACCTCGTACGTTGCCGTTCTTCACTTGTAGCTATGCTCCCTGTTCGCTCTCTTCTGATCTTTCTCGTCTTGCTTGGAGCAGTATGGTTGATAGAGGCGGAGATCCAAGAGCCGTGCAAGAGCAAGCTCCTCACTCTCCAGTCGTGCTTGCCTTACGTCACGGGTAAGGCCAGCAGTCCCACCTCGGACTGTTGCGGCGCGCTCAAGACTATCCGAGCTGGCGACCCGGTTTGCCTGTGCGAGCTCATCAGCGATGGAGGCTCTTCCTACGTCTCGGGCCTCAACATCACCACTTTGCTCGCTCTACCGGTGATTTGCAGTGTGGATGCCAATGCTTCCAAATGCCCAGGTATGGATCGATCGTAAAAATCACCCAGGAATCTTATGCATTGCTTTCTATTTCTCCAGAGTTGCTGAATGGAGCTCCACCACCAAAAAGTAGCTCTTCGCAAACCATGGTTGTCGCTAGCACGACATGGATACTACTAGTGTCCTTGTTCGTTTAGAAGAAGTTGTGTCAACGTGAACTCTTTGAGCTGATGAAAAAAAAAAACTTTCGTTTCATCTCAAGATCTTCTTGAGCTTCTCGAGCTCGGTGATCCGCGCGGACATGGCGTTTGTGTGCGTGCGCTGGCCCCGGAGCGGCAAGCCCACCGTGTGGCGGTAGCCGCGGTACGAGCCGATGCTAATGAGCCGCTTGATATCCATCTGGACGGACAGCGCCAGCTCCTTCTCCACCAAGTGGTTCTCGTGGATGTAGTTCATCATCCGGTTGAAGAGCTCGTCCGGGACGCTGTTCATCTTGACATCGTCACCGATGCCAAACACCGCGCAGATCTCCGCGGCTTTCCTCCTGCCCACGCCGTAGATCCTCGGCAGCGCAAACTTGACTGCCTTGTTCATCTTGCGGAGGTCCGCATACGAGGTGGACATGGTTTTTCTTCCGGATGATCCTCCTGGAAGGAGATTGGAAAGACAAAATTACAACCCAAGCATAGAAACGATCTAGTCTTTAGCAGTAAACATCGCAATGCTCGAAAGTTCTAAGAAACAAAGAAGGAGCTCCTAGAATCCAAGACCCATAGCTAGAAACTTGAGAAATACACGCGCCAAAGCTCTCACCTGGGTCTACTCCCCGAAGCCCTAAAAGTATGCTCTATGAAATGGGTAAAAGACTAAAAGGATATTTTTCGCATATTCGAAAATTCAAAAAAAGAGAAAACATATGGATCAAGCTTCGGCCATTGGCTCCGGGCCAGACGAGTCGAACGACGGCGCCGTCGCCACTGGTGTCACCGAGTTAAACAAGATGTCCTTGATCACCTGGAAGAGGAACGCAAGAAAGTTGAGCATAGAAAATCCAGAGTTTTCTGTGGCCTCGTCCTACCTGAGACATCAACCCGTGAACTTGCTCGACGGTGATCTTCGAGCTGTCCTTGGTGATCTTGGCGAGCTGGGATTCCTCCTGGTAAAAGCACACATAGATTGTCGATTCTAGTCTCTTCTTAGTCTCGACGAACAAACTCACCTCTTTCTTTTTCTGTGAAGGCATGAAGAAGCCTCCCATTCGACCAGAGTGAGCCAGTTGCGTTTCAGTCTGCTCTAGCTTCTCCGCTGCATGAGTAGAACTCGTTGAGAAAATATAAAACGACAGTAAGACTACTTGCCAAGGTCAGAGATCTGTCCGGCCACATAGTCTCGACTGCCCAAAAGTGGCGACGACGAGAGAGTGTTCAGCCAGTATTTGTTCCACAGCAAGTCCAGCAAGTGTGAGTCCAATGAAGACTTGAAATACGTGATGTCCAGAGGGTAGTACTGCACCAACAAAAGAAAAACGAATCAGTGTTGTTGCGACTCAGACATAGAAGAAACAAAGATTATACCTGTTTGCAGTGGACGCCGAAATCCTCGATCTTGTTCAGAGGAATGGTCTGGTACTCGGACGCCGGCTCGTCCGGAGGCTTGTATCCCTGAGGATAAGTCCTAAACGCACCAATCTCCACTTTACCAGCCGAGACAGTCCTGGTGGGATCGATGACAACAGCCAGGAACGGCTCCTGGTACTGCTGGTTGAGAACTTGCGTGGTGACATCAATGCCAGAGAGCCAGCAGCCATAGCCAGGATGCGAGTGGTACCAGCCAACAACATTCTCCAGTCTCCCAATCTGTGAAGAAGAAGGCGGTCAGAATCTAGAAAAGAAACCAAAGAAACCACCTAGAAGAGATGGCCGCAGGATCTAGAAGCTAGAACTCACAAAAAGAACTTCTGAAAATGAGAAGAACTATCTAAGAACACAAGAAAGAACAAGAACTAGAAAGAACAGCTAAACGAAAGAGAAAAAAGGATCTAACGTGAGTACCTGCTTGTTGGTCTGTACGTAATCCACCATGTACTCGTAAGCATCGGCCTGGGCATTCACCCTCGTCTCGGTTCCCTCCACGGGAAGAGCAAAGGCGTCCATGACGATGAAAGTATCACCCTCGATCTTGCCTTGCATGATTCCCATCACCTCCAAGGTACCTCCAGACCTGGCGTGGACAACCATCTTGAGCAGCGCCAGGGCCGAGATCTTGACGTTCTTGAAGTAGTGAGGATCGCGAGTCCAGGGCTTTTGCTGCTGGATCGCGCTCTGCGCCGCCTCGTCGTAGGCGTAGATGCTATCGCAGCTATCCACCGCCGCGGCCGCCGGGGCCGAAGAGGACGTACCTAGGCGCGAAGGCGACGAAGACCCGGACGCGGCGTGCTCCATGGGGACGATGTTGTTCTCCAGCTCCCAGCTCTGCCTCGCGATCGAAGAGGACGCATCCATTGCCTCGCACTGCTCGGATTTCTTCTTCCTCTTGCTCATGTGAAGGAGGAGAGAAAACCCATTAGGGCTTACTAGAAGCAGAGTGATTCTCAAGTATATTCTTAAGCATCATTTAGATTGAACTTTAGGGTTTTAGTTTTTCAAATACAATGTACAGATATGATGCCGTATATTAATATTAGCATAGTGAGATTTTGGTAGCCATTAGATTAATTTTAATCCGGACCACTCGCTCCTGTATATAAGTTAGGGTTTTTGGGCTAATTGATATGTACATTTCTGTATTCCCTTTCCATATTCTATGCACTCATATTGTGATATGCAAATTTCTATATTCCCTTTCCATATTCCATGCACTCATATTGTGATATGCAAATTTCTGTATTCCCTTTCCATATTCCATGCATTCATATTGTGATATGCAAATTTCTATATTCCCTTTCCATATTCCATGCACTCACATTGGTGGAGTTGAGGGGCACTTTTAATTGTCCCTAAAGAGTGTTTGGATTTGGGATTTTGGTTTAGATCTAACTTTTGTATCGTCTAAATCTAACTTTTTCCATTCCCTTTCTTTTGTTCTTCCCTTTCAGGATTTTGGTTTAGATTTAGCTTTTTGCATTGTTTAGATCTTCTATTTCCTTCTCACTTTTTGTCGTTTCTCTTCTTTTGCTCTTTCTTCGTCCGTCTTCATGACAGATCAACAATCTCCTCCTTTGACTCTGGAGCAGCAGTTGGTACAATTGCTTAATGCTATGCATTTGCAATTGAACAACCAAACTCAGTTGATGGCAATATTCACAGCACATGGTACAACTCCTCCGGCTCTTGGTGCTAATCCTCGCGTTCGGCCGGAGTTTTTTCGCGGGAATCCTGGGGATGATGTGTACCATTGGTTCGATCACTTCACGATGATTACCACATATCATTCTTGGGATGATGCTTGACGTTTGCGTGAGTTTCCCACGTGTCTCCAAGGGATGGCGTTGCAATGGTACAATGGTCTGAGCACCACCACTTGTGGGGATTGGAGTGTTCTCCCGGACATCTTCAAACACGCCTTCAGACATGCCGACGACTGTGATGATGCCTTCCAACAATTGCATTGTCTTCGCCAAGGGCCATCTGAGTCGGTGATGCAATTTGGCATTCGTTTCCGAAGTCTTTTGCTTCGTGCGGAGCTCAATATGTCGGAGCGGATCAAACTAGAAATGTTGTGGCCAACACTTCGTCAAGATCTTGTCGAACTTGTGCATGATCTTTGTGTTGCAGCAATGGACCAGCTCATGAAGGAGTATTCTGATCTCTTTGAATTTAACCTATCATCTGGGGCCAAGATTGCCACACGTCATCCAATTCCAACCGGGGATGCTCGTCTAATTAAGATTCTCATTCGTTGTCAGTCACCCAAGGAGATCCGAATTTTACGTGCAAATGTCAAGGAGATGTTGGAGAAGGGTGTTATTCGGAAGTCGGGGAGTCTTTGGGCATGTGAGCCTTATCTTATGACGAAGCCTGATGGGAGTATTCATTTTTGCATCAACTATCGTCCATTAAACAAAATGACGATCCCAAATGTGTACCCTCTTCCTCACACTACTGATCTCTTGGATCGTCTGGGGCAAAGTCGTTAGTTCACCAAGCTAGATCTTGCTTCTGGGTACTGGCAAGTACCGATGGCTGAAGAAAATATTCCTAAGATTGCTTTTCGTACACCATTTGATTTTGTAGCGCACATAGTTTTTACCCTTTATCCTATGGTGATTTACCATAGGATAACACCACGAAGCGGAACCTAGACACATGCCATAGGAACCCGAGGTTCAGGGCCTTGGGCCACTGAACGAAAGAACGGTGCCAAACTCCCAAGCATGGAGCCAAAGAGCATTAGCATTGGAGCACTGAACGACTCCCGAGCATATAGCCCAAGGAGCGAAGGGATGGGAGCCCGGAGCGACTTGGAACAATTTTAGAGTAACCAGCATCCCAATGCTAGGACCAGCATGCAAAACGGAGCCAAATGGAGTTTGGCGCTATTTCGGCATACCGGTGGCCTGACGCGAGTGTAAGCCACAAATTTTTCCTTTCCAATTTGCCAACTTACCTCGTCTATCTGTGTAACACTGCCTTGGCTTTTGCTAAGTTCCCTCACCAAGGTTCCTGCCTATGGTACCAACTACTACTTGGTCCTACTTGGTTTCAGCTACTCACTACACGAGCAACGGAGCGTTAACCATCCATCCACGGATTCCTAAATCTCTCCCAATCCCCCTCCCCGGGTTAGATTGGAATTAAGGTTCAGCTACACTCCCCGCAGGCACAAGCAGCCAAGCACACCAAGCCTCCAGGTTCTTAACACCCCTTGGTACCACAAGACTTGATCATGGGACCCTCTAAATCCCAAGTTTTGGGTGCAACACTTGCTTCGGGATGCTAGGGCGAAACACCATGGTCTAACGGCTTGGTATGGGTACCTCTACCCCCCCACTTCCATCCCGAAGGATGGCCCAAGCCCCTAGGAAGGGCGAGGACCAATGAGCCACATGGTACTCAAGTGGGGCACCACTTCACATGAGCCGGGAGCACCACAGTCGGTTTCCCTTTCGGGAGTGGGAGCTGCTCTTGAGCACTTCCTGGGGTGGCCCCTCCGGCACCACCTAAGTCCTTACTCACTCCCACCTAAGGCCCCTCAACCCCAGTCTCAACCTCAAGTCAATTTGGAAGCACCACTGGAGAGTTCCTTCAAGACTGGTTCCTAGACCTCACTATCCCTACTATACTTTTGGAACCCCCTATATCCCCCCCCCCCCCCCCCCCTGGGAGATGCACGCTTTGGGCTTTCACCCCTTGACCCGTATTAGTACTCGGACTCAGTCTCGATCTCGGATTTGATCTCGGACCCAACTTTGGACTCAGTCTCAGACTCGATCTCGGACTCGATCTCGGACCTGATCTCGGACTCGACTTCAGACTCAACCTTGGACTCAGTCTCGGACTTGATTTGGATCTCGGACTCTGTCTTGAACTCGGTCTCGAACTCAGTCTCTGATTCGGCCTCGGACTCGATCCTGGACTCTATCTCGAACTCGGTCTCAGAGTCGGTCTTGGACTCGATCTTCGACTCGGTCCCATCCGATGAACTCTTTGTCATTTTGGTCTTGCTTTTGGGGATCCTTTAGCCTACGACACCTTGGAGAGTTAGTTCCTTAAAGCGAGGACATAGGTACTCCACCAGCTAGCATGGAATGGAACTTGGGCTTCGACCCAAGCCGGACGCAGAACAAAGACAGACATGCAAGTGGGAGCTAAACTATGCCTTAGGTTGGTCAGCCATGCCCGACCTACCCACTATCCCTACTATACATTTGGAACCCCCCTTCCCCCCCCTTGAGAAACATATGCTTTGGGCTTTCACCCCAAGCCTCCTTTAGTATCAGGAGTTAGTCTCTAGGACAAGTCTGAAACTTTCTAAATTGCGAATTTAGACATGGAACGAACACCATTGTGTTCAGGCCGATCTCTACATTCCGTAAATATGCCAAATGAGCGAATCTAGACACTTTCCATAAATAGCATTTGGGTCCGAAATGAGACTAACACAAAGGGCATGATAGCGAGGGTGTTTGGCAGACACGGTAAGCTATCATCCAGCGATATTGAGGGACCAATCTCAATACGCAAGGGTTCTTGTCACTAGCCAGTGCAAGACATAACGAGATGGGAACTCCTTAGCAGGCTAAGTATGCTTAGCTAATAACACATAGGAATTCCGTCCTTATGCTCGTCCAGTCTAAGTACATTCGAAATGCCCAGTTAACTCCACTAGCACAAGAGGGACTGATAAAGGGTTCAACAATACCGACCTCCTACCATCATGGCAGTAAGGTAAGAGTGTCCATAAGGACTGGCTAACAGGTAACTTTCGATACCCAAAGTCACATTCGCGACAAGTTTGTACGAGTTCTTGGTGATGCCATTTGGTTTGAACAATGCTCCAGCAACTTTTTAGCAGATGATGGACGAGGTTCTTTGCGATATGCCGGAGATGACTGCTGACTTTATTGATGATGTCTTGATCCACTCGAAGGGGACGTGGGAGGAGCGTTGGATCGACTATGTGACGTTGGTTTAAAGTTGAAGCGGTCGAAGTGCGTGTTTGGGTCCAAAGATACAACTTATCTTGGGTACCGTATTTCTCGTGAGGGTTTGCAAGTTAATCCTGACAAATTTGTGGTTATTCTAAAGTTCCCTACTCTGAAGTGTGTGAATGATGTGTAGTGCTTCTTGGGCAAGGTGCAATATCTCAGTCGTTTTGTGGATCATCTTTTTTATCGCACTACACCATTGCGAGCGTTGCTGAAGTCATCAACATCATCTTTCATCTAGTCTCCGGATTGTGAGCGGGTGTTCAAGGATCTCAAAGGGTTGTTGAAGACTCCTTCGGTTTTGGCATATCTTGACTACACTTGACCTTTTATTTTGCGTGTGGATGCTTCTGACATTGGTCTTGGCGATGTGTTAATGCAAGAGAGCTCGAGTGTGTTTGGTTAGCGCCATCCCATTGCATATATAAGTATATAAGCCGTACATTACAACCAGCGGAAATGAACTACTCCACGACAAAGAAAGAGTGTTTAACAGTAGTTTAGGGTTTCAAGAAACTTCATGCATATTTGCATGGTTCTCGAATGCTACTTGAAGGTGATCATGCTATTGTTACTTTATTATTGAAGCAGAAGAACCTGGTTAATCTTACTACTCGATGGGCTTTGAAGCTTCAGATATATAATTTTGTTGTTGTTTATCACTTAGAGAGTTCTATGGCTGATGTTGATGCCCTTTCTCGAGCTCCTCCTCCTTCTCCATTCTCTTCTCATGTTTTTGATGAGCCTATTATTCCAGCCTCTGTGGATTTTCTAGACAAGGATTCTGTGCTGCCGGCGGTTGCTGTACTTGACATTCAGTGTCCACAAGGTATAGAGCAAGATCCACCTTCTCTTGATGAGGTTCGTGAGGCTCAAAAGATTGAGCCATGGATTCGAAGGCTTCGAGATGGGTTTGAGAATCTTGCATCACTTGCTGATGACTTGCCTTTCCGGCATTTACATTCTCAATATCATCTTGAAGATAGCCTTCTTTATTTTGTGGGGACGGATCTTGATGATCATTTATGGCTGGTAGTGCCTTCTATCTTTATTCCGCAGTTTCTCTATGCCTACCATAATTCTCTTGTTTTAGGTGGGCATATGGGATATCGTCGTGTAACCGAGAAGCTGTGTAGGTCTTTCTATTGGCCGGAGATGCGACATGATATTATCCGATATGTGCGTAGCTGCGTTTGGTGCCAAGCTCATAATACTCCCCGTCGAGCTACAGAATGATGGTTGGAGTCAATTGCAGTTTCCCGTCCGTTTGAGTTGGTGGCATTTGATCTTATGGGACCTTTTCCACGGTCAACTGCTGGCAATGAGTATGTTATTATTGCTTCTAACTACTTGACTCATTGGGTCGAAATTGGTGCTTTTGCTAGCGCCTCTGCAACTGCTGTTGGATACTTCCTTCTCAATCGAGTGGTGTTCCAGCATTCTTGTCTAGAGTAGATTCTTTCAGATAATGATCCCACATTTATGGCTGAGGCATTTCATATTTTGACGTTTCGATTGGGGATACACCACACTTTCATAAGTGCTTATCATCCACAATCAAACGATCTGGTGGAACGGCTCATTCAAACATTCAAGGGGATGATTGCGAAGTATGTGAACTTTCAGCATTCGGATTGGGATGGTTATTTGCCGTCTCTTTGGTATGCATATGTCACAGGGGTGCAGAGTTCTATTGGTGCTTCACCCTATGAACTCCTATATGGTCATGATCCAAGATTACCAACGAAGCTGGGTTTACCTTTGCAATTGCCACAAGCTGCGGTTGCTAGGTCATGGGATTAGTATTTGACAAGCATTCTTCCACTTGTTCGAGCGGAGTCTGCCGAACACTTAAGCTGCGTACAAGTGGGATAACAACGGCAGTACAACCCCCATCATCGTCCACCTGCAGAGTACAAGGTGGATGATTTGGTGTTAATCCACGGTATGTGGTTTATCTAAGGGTCTCTTTGCGCAGTAGAAAGGACCATATCGGGTGTTGCGGCAAGTTGGACCACAAGTTTATAAGGTTTGGCATGACATCCAGCAAGTCAATCCTTTAGAGATTGTGCATGTGCAGCAGTTGAAATGCTTGATACAAAGGGATCAGGAGCAGTTAATACCACATAAAGATCCACCGATGCCTCCTCCTGACATTCCTCTAGATCCCGGCCCATCTACAAGAGAACCCTGATGGTCTTCCATTATTCCAAGAGGAGGGGATGATGTGAGGGCCAAGTGTACGGCTACGATGCCGCATACTAATATTAGCGTAGTGGGATTTTAGTAGCCGTTAGATTGGTTTAAATCCGGACCACTCACTTCTGTATATAAGCTATGGTTTTTGGGCTAATTGATATGCACATTTTTGTATTCCCTTTCCATATTCCATGCATTCACATTGTGATATGCACATTTCTGTATTCCCTTTCCATATTCTATGCACTTACACTACTCATTGCATGTAATAATGTTTAGTTTGTTTAATAGTAATTTTGTAACCATTTTGTCATCTCTTGTTGCACATGAGGAGGTTCATTGAAAAGAAAAAATAAAAATGGATAAGTCACTTACATGATAGTGCATTGACTATTTTTCATATAAGATGGCTTCATGAGTAATGTAATATACATATGAGTCACATCGCTCTTTAGTGCTACAATAGATCCCCTTACTAGGCATTTTGAAGGCCTGCAAAAGCAGCCAACCTACCAACTCATTCCATTCCTTTTATTTCTAATCCTTCAAGCTGGATCTCCTCAAAAACTAGCAGTAAGTGATAAAAGAAAACTATGTTCTTATTATGCCTCCTATTTCATTCCTCTCCAGGTGGACCTTGCGACTATGGGAACTATCTGAGTGTTAGTATGCCCCTCTTCATATTTGCAACACTTGCAATGAGGTTCACTGTACATGCAACAGATAATCCCTTCACTTGTCACCAAGCTTGGAGCCTCTTGTTTAGGGTCACCAGCAGCAATGGGTACAAGGTCACCTCACACACCACCATAGCCATAACACAAAGATCCAAGGCACAAGGCTACCAGGGATGGGGGAAGACAACCAAAATGGAAAGACAATAGCCACATCAAGCACCTCAAATAGAGAGTCAGATCCAGGCACAACCATGCCAAACACTTATAGCATGTCAAAAGAACATAGCACACTATACCCGAGTACATAACCCACACAAGTAGACCAAAAGAAAGAGAGTAAACATGAAATCAACCCTTCATCTAGTGATGAGAAGTACGGGAAAGCAAACCAACACTCACTATATCTAAGGTATGCCATCTTCTACTTGAGTTGCACTCAGTTTAGGAATGTAGATGAGGTGATCTTTAGCAAACACTATGTCGTTGTCAATGACAGAAAACCCATCCACTTCAAGGGCACTGTGAAGCCCATACCTCTCTAATTGCTTGTAAATCTTCTCTACTGGCAGCCTTGTTGGAGGAATTCGCACCTTGATCACCTTTATACTATTGTTGGCTTGCACAGTTGTTACCGTTGTCGCTATACGCACATTTGTATCCTAGAAAGCGAATCACAAAATGATGCTTCTGATTATGATAATTATTATTATGATCCAGTTTTTATGATTCACTGCTACTCTATCTTTTGCATTCCCGCATTTATTGATACCATCATCAAGTCATTTTGTTGTTGTATCACAATATTGTTAGAAGGCTAAGGAAAGAGTGAAATGTAAATCTATAGTTTATTTTGAAGTTACAAATATATCCCTACTAATAATAGAATAAGTTACTGTTCATTTTATTTTGGATTTGATACATTAATATATAATGTTATTTTTAATGACATTTATAGAAGCTTTGAAACTTTGATGGAGTTTTTTAGGGTACTAGCTACTATGATACAGTTAGAATTCTCAATTTCAGTTTTTGAAGCATAATACAATACTTCTAGACTTGAAGGTCAAGTTAATAATGAAGCTCAACTGAAAGTGTGTTAGCGAAGCAGGACTATCATTGAAAATTGAAACATTAGAGTTTTCCATAAGTATAATTCGAATCCCTTTGCACTATATATGTGCATATTACACTCTTCAAAGTTAAGAAGATGAATGGTATCTAAGGGTTAGAGATTGCCTCTTAGCGTAGTTTAACCATGCAACCTTTTGGCTGTAAACGACTAAATTTTCCATTCTACTTTAATCACTTAATCACACTTTCAACCACTTTGAGGAGTCTCACTCACAACCTCCATAAGTCTTATTCTAGACTTAGGGACTTGCTAGCCTAAAGAATGGCATACCACTCAACCATTTCACTTGGTACAAGTGCTCCATGTGTCCGATCTTATGACTGACACATAAAGGTGCCACTAACATATCAGCCCATTACGTTAAGGCCATGCCCCTTCCCTTTTGCCATATCGGTAATCCAACACCACTTACATCATAGTCCCGTCTCTCAAAGACTAGGCTATCCTTCCATGAGTGATCATCCTAGATCCACGTCTTAGCATCCTCTGGATGCTTGCAGATATGAGGAACAACTTTCCCTAATATCGCTTTTTTCAGTCCCCACCAAACCCCTTTCCGTTCACAGCCAGCCATATTCACCAACACTGCTACTGGATCATGGCGTATAGGCCCAAGAATTCCTTGCCACATGACCGCGTCCTTAGTCACCACACAAGAAGACTGTTCCTTTTCCTTTCTTTAGTCTAAGACTTTAGGACAACATTTTGAAACATCACAGCCCTACACGAGCCTTGTGGATACTCTCCCCACCATTCATAATTGGGTGCCTTAGCCAGGTGGATAGAGCAAGGTTTTAATAAGCCACGCTAGGTATCCAAGTAGGTAGTGCCACCCACACTTAGACTGGGAGCATCAACCATTTAATCTCCCGAAGGAGTTAGAGCCAACTCTTAAACACTTCACTAAACTACCCTGCTTGTCTGTCTGTATTCACTTTAACCTTGGACTTCCCATCACCTAACATATGGGTATAGCCTTCTTGGGCTACACTGGCCTTTCATAGCCAAATTGGTTCCATTGGACTCCAACCCCCTCCAGCCCCCTATAACCCTGACCACCACCACCACCACCCCCCCCCCCCCCCCTCAAGGGATGATCGCTTTAAGTTTTCACCCAATAACCTATATTTGTATTTGAACTCAGACTCGGACTTGGTCTCAGACTCGGTCTCAGACTCAAATTGGGTCTCCATCTTAGTCTTAGACTCAAACTCAGTCTCAGTCTCAGTCTTGGTCTCAGCCTAGGTCTTGGTCTCAATCTTGGTCTCAATTCCATCTCAAACTCCATCTCAAACTCTATCTCAGGTCCATCTTGGACTCCATCTTTAGTCCATCTCGGACTCTATCTTAGGTGCATCTTGGACTCCATCTCAGGTCCATCTCGAACTTCACCTTGGACTCCATCTTGGACTTTATTTCAGACTTTATCTTGGGTCTATCTTGGATTCCATTTCGGACTTTATCTTGGGTGTATCTTGGACTCCATCTTAGGTCCATCTCGGACTCTATTTTGGACTCCTTCTTGGGCTCCATTTCGGACTCCTTTTTGGACTTCATTTTGGACTCTATCTCGGACTCCTTCTTAGACTCCATTTCAAAATTTATCTTGGACTCCTTCTCGAACTCCATCACGAACACTTCCATGTGTCATGTGTTGGTCCTCTTGTGTTCCTTTTTTGTAGAGACTCACTTCTTACTTGCTTCGTGTTCATTCCTTGAGCACTTCGTTGGGAGTTCCACTCCCGCTCTCAACTTTTAAAGTCAGAGATTTTAGTCCAAATGTGTTACATTCATTTGGCTTTCTACCTTAGCCACTACCACATGGCACCCTTTCGGCTCCTCTTTGGGGCCTAGGGATTTTGTGTCTCACACTAGCATCTCCAATTTTATATTGGTATAATAAATGTAATAATGATAAAATATAGTTGTGAGGTCCAAATGTACAACTATAATACCATACACTAATATTAGCATAATGGGATTTTAATAGCTGTTGGATTGATTTCAATTCGGATGTATATAAGTTAGAATTTTTAGGCTAATTAATATACACATTTCTGTATTTCATTTCTATATTTTATACACTCAGATTGGTGAAGATGAGTGGCAGCCTTGATTGTCCCTAAAAGATGTTTGGATTTTGGGATTTTGCTATAGATTTGGCTTTTACATTGTCTAAATGTCCCTTTCTTTAAAACTTTTTTAATTTCTTCTTTTTTGATTTTTTCCTTTTCATTCATTTTCATAAGAAAGCATGAGCCTCCTCCTCCTTTGGCTCCAGAGTAGCAATTTGTGTAATTCCTTAATGCTATGTGGTTCCAATTGAACAATCAGACTCAATTGATGGTGGCATTCATGGCATATGGTATAACTCCTCCTACTCTTATTGTCAATCTTTGAGTCCAGCCAAAGTTCTTTTGTGTGAAGCTTGGGGATGATATGTACCATTGGTTTGATCACTTCACAACAGTGTGTAACAAAGTATTTTTAGTGTACTGGAAAAAATCCTTGAATACTTAAAATGAATAGGATATATTTTTTTTGTACCGGCATAATCCTTAAAAGAGGAAATCTCATTCGGATAAATTCCTTAATATATGAAAACTATAAGGAAGTTAAACATCTACAAACCGTCACTTTAGCTTGTATAAATATGCCTATAAGCTGCACCTTCCTTCCATGCTTGCACCACTGTTTCAAAATCAAACTTAGCTATTGGCGGACCCTCAATGGAGATCCTCACAAGCTTGTCAACCATCTCCGTCCCCATCTGGTTTTGAAACTTATTCTTCACCAAGTTGATTCTACTAAACCCACGCTCACATGATGCAGTGTTGTAGCATTGAACCATGCCGACCATTGCCAACTTCAGCAAGTTGGGATACTTCTTCGTCCAGATACTGTGAGCATAAATCATTCCCCAAACATCCACGAAAGTTTTCCCCTTCCACTCCTCGGAAGCTATTATCTTCCATAAACTGTACTCTTCAGCCAGCTCTGCTTCATTGATCATCCCTGTGTAGAACTTTCCAAGTTCCTGAACCTCAAACTTACCAAAAGCTTTCAACTCACGCACTGATGAAGGTAAGTTGATAGGAGCTAAAAAGTGGAACTTGGAGAGAATACCAGTCGCCTCAGAGTCCTGTAACCTGGTCCTTATACCCTCCAAAAGACTAGTGCCAAAGTTCTTTTGAAACTCTAGTACCTCCTCCAAATCTTCTCCGTGAATCGACTTGATCATTTCCACGTCTCTGTATTCGTTTCCCTTAACTGATGACCTGAGCTCATCCAAAGGACCATTGCAGCGTCCACCATCTGGGATTATAGGATATCCTCTGCTATCCAACTGAAAACCATTCAAATCCACCTGCTTATCCAAATAGTATACCTGTATCTTGGCCATAGTTGCCTTGCATAAAGGTGCAACACTAGTCACGTCCATAGTCTGTGCTTGAAACTCCAGGTTCAGCTGATTTACCACTGCCAAGATATCTCCTAGAAAGTGGAGTGCATAAAGGAACTTCAAACTCCTGAGACGGTCATACAACTTCCTTGTTTGAGTTGTTCTCCCGTCCTTAAAAAACTTGAGTAGTGGTTCCAGACACTCACACATCCTGGTAATGGCTCCACCCTTGCTCAACCAACGTGTCTGCTGGATCCGCAACACCTTCAGCACCTTGAAGTCTAGCTCGTCCTGTAGTGCCTGTAGCTGCTGCAACCTGCTAGAACTCCTTGAGAAAAAACTGGCTACCTTGTTCACCACCTGATCCACTTCATCGCAAAGATTATGAACTGTTGGATTCTTGTAGACGTCCTCCACACATAAGTTAGCTCTGTGTGAAAGACAATGTGTGGAGGTCATGAATGGATTGACCTCCTTCAACCTTGCTGCAACCCCTGTCCTGTTTCCTGTCATAACATTGCAGCCGTCTGAACCAAACCCCACAAACCTGCTCATATCCAGCCCCCAATCCTGTAGTGAAGCTATGGTGGTGTTAAAAATCACCTCTGCAGAACTATTGTTCACCATTGACAAGCCTAAATAGCTTGTCAACACCCTTGTGTCGTGGATGTAGGTCACGTAAAAGATGAGGTGTTTACTGGTACTGCATTAACAAATTTAGAACCAAGAATATCACTAATCAGCTTTACCTTATATCCGTGCTCTCATCTAGCATTATTCCAAAGAATGGGCTAGCTTTAACTTTCTCCAAAATTTGATCTAAGAGCACCTACACAACAAAATTCAGTCAAGGTTTATCATCAAACTTTAGCTCACCTTGTTGATGAAAGTGATGAAGCGTGAGCAGGCCATCACGTTCTTGTACATGCTAGGAACATAAACTCCGTTCAACTGTTGTAGCTCCAGAAGCAATGGGTATTTGCGAAGAGGAACAAAACCTTGTGCAATAGCATAAGCAGTCCTAAACAAGCAAATAACTCCCTTCTCTGCTGCCTCTTGTTGCCGATCATTTGCAGCTGCCATGGAGGATTGACCGCCAGCTTTCACCTCAGCTATGTAAATGGAATGCTTGTGATCTTTTGTTTGCCCATGAGCATGGAAACTTGAAGTCTTCATGTTGGTGGAACCTGATGTACCAAATGGATTCTTGCAATTCTTGTTGGCACGGCATATTGAGCAGAAGATCAGTGTTGTAATGCAAGTAGGATTAGATGAAAAATCAAGAAAATTATTACCATTTTTCTGATCAAAATGCAACCACCGCCATTTTATGACCCATGCAAGTTGCCACTTCCCCCTACGAATTTTCTTCTCCTTCTCCTCTACTGATGCAGCATCACCTTCTCCCACTTCACATCCCTCCTCAGGCTCAATCCCCTCCAGGTTGTCCTCATCTACAAAACCTCCTCTCTCCACAATGGGGGCAAAACTTAATAAAGATTGTTTTGATTGAGCAATGGCTTTTGCAGCAGCCTTGCTCCTACCTACAGGCACCCTCCCCATTTCCCAGATGATCTCCCCACCAAAATCTATGTTCACGCCCACGCCCACGCCCACGTGAACATTGTGAAAGAATATTCTAACCTTAGAGCCCACGTGAACATTGTGAAAGAATATTCTAACCTTAGATTAATGACATGGTTTACTTAGTGTAACTATGTTTAGTTAGTTTTAACTAAGATTGATGATTATTTATTTAATCTTGTTAATTAGAATTAATTAAACATAATTAACCATGAAACCCTAATCCTCAAAAGGTAGGTGAATGTACCAGCAGGATTCCTTATAACATCCAAACGTACCGGATCTAGCCTTATACGAGATTTTTTGCACCGGTCGTATATCCTTGTAACTTTGTTTTGTACCGGCAATTCTGAAATGGTACCGGCGGGGTACAAAGGAGCCTCGGACTTTGTTACACACTGCTTCACAGTGATTGCCACATATTATGCTTAGGATGATGCTTGGCATATACATAAATTTCCCATGAATACTCCAATCCTCATAAGTGGCTACGCTCAAACCATTGTACCATTATAACACCATCTATTGGAGACATCTTCAAATGTGCATTTGAACATGCTAACAATTATAATAATGCCTTTTAACAATTGCATCATCTTCACCAAGGGGCGTCTAAGTCTATCATACAATTTGGCATTCATTTCCGAAGCCTCTTACTTTGTGTGGACTTAAATATGTCGGAGTGGATCAAGTTGGGAATGTTGTGGCCAGCACTTTATCAAGATTTTTTAGGACTTATATATGCACTTGCTCCTACCACCCTTGACTATACTCCTCGCTTGGCACAACGTTATAAAACATCACCTTTTCCACTTTCTGCTACATATCCTTCAACTCCACCTCCTATAAAAAATGGTTCTATTCCAATGGAGGTTAATGTTGTTGCTGCCCGAGTTCAAGGACAAGGGCAAGGACATGGTCATGGCTATGATGTCCGTTGTTAGGCATGTGATGAAGTTGGTTACACTTATTGGCATTATTGGCTTTTTCTAAATTAGCAACTTCCATTTCCTGAGTGGAGACCTTGACATCAATAACATCCTGTTGGCACTACTACAGTGGAATGTCTAAACACCTAGATGCTTCTGAGAAACAAAGAGTCATACGAGTAGCAGAGGGATTTTTTGCAAATAAGTTATTAATCCCTCCATCTTTCTTTCAGAAGTATCATAAAGGGGTTCATTCAATATCAATTCATCCAATATTTACATTCCAAGCTTATTTTTATAATAATAAATCTCCTATTCTTCTCTCTATGTTGGTTGATATGGACTCGAGTGGCTGATATAATCTTCTATTACTTGATTTATTGCCACATATTGCCATTTACATTTGCATTGTGTGGTATAGCCAATTTTCATTCTTTATGGCAACAGCCATACACATATGTGTAGGGGTGAGTGGATCTAGTTATGTATATAGGCAGTCTCATACTTGAGTTATAATCATTGCGAGTGGTGGTGAGTCAAGCTTCCTTAATATAGATTAGTTATAGTGCAATTATGCCAAATATGACTTTGAAGCTTCTCCCCCTTGTTTTATACTTCTTTATATTTCTTCCATTCCTCTTATTTATGTTACTTTTCATCCATTTACTTCCATCACTTTTGTCTCCCCATTACTTCCTTCTATATTTTCATCTTGTTCTTTTTTTCCCTGTTTCAATCCCTTTGATGGTTTTTATGTTATAGTAGTTGATCGGCTCATGAAAAATTATGCCGATCTTTTTGAATTTAACCTGTCATCTAGGGCTAAGATTGCAACAAGTCATCCTATTCCAAATGGGGATGTTCATCCAATCTATGTTCCTATTTATTGGTCACCCAAAGAGATTAAGATTTTACATATAAATGTTAAAGAGATATTGAAAAAAGGTGTTATTCAAAAGTCACGGAGTCCTTAAGCGTGTGAATTTCATCTTGTGACAAAGCTTGATAGGAGTATTATTTATGCATTGATTATCATCCGTTAAACAAAATAATGATCTTAAATGTGTACCCTATTCCTTACACTGTTGATCTCTTGAATCATTTGGGGAGAAGTTGTCGGTTCACTAAGTTAAATCTTGTTTTTGATTATTGACAAGTACTGATAGCCAAAGACAATATTCCTAAGACTGTTTTTTGTACACTATTTCATTTGTACAAGTTCTTAGTGATGTCATTTGGTTTAAACAATGCTTTAGCAACTTTCCAACAAATGATGGACGAGGTTCTTTGCAATATGTTGGAGGTGATTATTGATTTCATTAATGATGTTTTGATCCACTCAGAAGGGACATGGCACACGTCCGTGATTTTCGTAAAGTGTTGGATTAATTTTAGGAAGTTGGTTTAAAGCTAAAGTGGTCGAAATGCATCTTTAAGTCCAAGGACATGACTTATCTTGGGTACCATATTTCTTATAAGGGTTTGCAAGTTGATCTTGACAAATTTATGGCTAGTCTAAAGTTTCCTACACTAAAGTGTATGAATAATGTGTAATGCTTCTTAAGCAAGGTGCAGTATCTTAATCATTTTGTTGATCATTTTTTTAATTGCATTGCACCATTGTGAACCTTGCTGAAGTCCTTAACGTCATCTTTCATCTAGTCTATGGATTGCGTGTAAATGTTTATAGATCTTAAAAAGTTATTGACGACTCCTCCAGTTTTGGCATATCCTAACTATACTTGACTTTTCATTTTACGCGTGGATGCTTTTGATATCAGTCTTGGAGGTGTGTTAATGCAAGAAAGTTTAAGTGTGCCTGGTCAAGAACATCTCATTGCATATATCAACCATATATTACAACCAGTGAAGATGAACGACTTCACAATAGAGGAGTGTTTAGTAGTAGTTTGTGGTTTTAAAAAACTTTATGCATCTCTACATGGTTTTCAGACGTTACTAGAAGGTGATCATATTGTAGTTACTTCGTAATTGAAGCAAAAGAACTTAATTGGTCATACTGCTATGTGGGCTTTAAAGCTTTAGATAAATGATTTTGACATTGTACATCACCTGAAGAGTTCTATAGTTGATGTTGATGCCCTTTCTCAAGCTTCTCTTCCTTTTTCGCTCTCTTCTTATATTTTTAATAAACTTATTGTTCTTGCATTTGTGAACTTTTTGGATAAGGATTCTATATTATTAATGGTTGTTATACTTGATGTTCAATGTCCATAAGATGTAAGCAAGATTTACCTTCTTTTGACGAGGTTAGCAAAGCTCAAAAAATTTAGATGTGAATTCAAAGGCTTTTGTGAGACACAAATCCCTAAGCCCCAAAGTGGAGCCGAAAGGGTGCCACGTGGTAGTGGCCGAAGCAAAAGCCAAACGAGCGTAACACGATTGGACTAAAAGGCTTCGACTTGAAAGGTTGAGAGCGGGAGTGGAACTCCCAACGGAGTGCTCAAGGAACGAGCATGAAGCGAGCAATAAATGAGGCTCCAAAAAGGGACCCAAAAGGACCAACACATGACACATGGAAGTGTCCAAGATGGAGTCCGAGATGGACCAGAGTTAGAGTCCGAGATGAAGTCCGAGATGGAGTCCGAGATGGACCCGAGTTGGAGTCCGAGGTGGAGTTCAAGATGGAGTCTGAGATGGACCTGAGTTGGAGTCCGAGGTGGAGTCCGAAGTGGAGTCCGAGATGGAGTCCGAGATGGAGTTCGAGATGGACCCGAGATGGAATCCAAGATGGAGTCCGAGAAGGACTCGAGATGGAGTCTGAGGTCGAGACCGAGACCGGGACTGAGACCGGGACCGAGACCAAGACCGGGACCGGGACTGAGACCGAGACCGAGGCCAAGGCCGAGACTGAGCCCGAGCCCGAGTCCAAGTCCTAGTCCACGTCTGAGTCCAAGTCTGAGTTCAAGTCTGAGAGGGTAAAAGCCCAAAGCATTCATCTCCCAGACCCTAGGGGGTTTGGTGAGCTCCAAAAGTATAGGGGGGGAGGACTACAGTGGAGCTAGTTTGGCCAGGAAAGGCCAGTTTGGCCCAGGAAGGCCAGACTCAGTGTTGGGTGATGAACTGACCACTGGGAAGTCCAAAAATAGAGTGAACATGGACCGACAAGCGAGGTAGCTTGGTGAAGTGTTCAAGAGCCGACTTTAGTTCCCCCAGAAGATCGACTGGTCGATGCTCCCAGTCCAAGTGTGGGTGGCACTACCTACTTGGATACCTGGTGTGGCTCAACAAAACCTCGCTCTAAGCCCATGGCTAGAGCACCCAAAGGCGGAAGGCGGGGAGAGTACTCACGAGGCTTATGTAAGGCCATGGTGTTCCGAAATGTTGTCCCAAAGGCCCAGACCGTGGAAAGGAAGAGGAGTAGTCCTCTGGTGTAGTGACCAAGGATACAATCGTGCAGTGAGAAAGTCCCAGAGGACTGTGGGACTTAGTGGTCAGGCCTGTGGGCCCTGATCCAGTGGCAGTGTTAGCGAACACGGCCAAGGACAGAAAGGGACTTGGTGGGGATCAAAAAAGAGATATTGGGAAAGGCTATTCCCCATGTCTGCAGGCATCCTAGGGATGCTAAAGAGTGTATCTGGGATGACCACTCATGGATGGATGGCCCAGTCTTGGAGAGACGGGATTGCAATGCAGGTGGTGTTGGACCACTGATGTGACCAAGGCAATTAGGCATGGCCTAGCGTAACAGGTTGGTATGTTGGTGGTGCCTTGGGGTGTCGGTCATGGGATTGGACACGTGGAGCACTGGGACCAAGTGCAAAGGTTGAGTGGTATGGATGCCATTTTCAGGGCTAGCAAGCCCCAAGACCTTAGTAGGACTTATGGAGGTTGTGAATGAGACTCCTCCAAGTGGTCAGAGATGTGGTTAAGTGACTAAAGTAGAATGGAAAAAATTTATTCGCTTATAGCTTTGTGATGGATTTGAGAATTTTATATCACTTGCTGATGACTTACCATTTCGGCATTTACATTCTCAATATCGCCTTGAGGATAGTCTTCTTTATTTTGTAGAGACGGATCCTGATGATGATATTTTATGGTTAGTTGTGCCTTCGATCTTTATTCCAAGCTTTCTCCACACCTACCATGATTCTTTTATTTTAGATGGGTATATAGGACATCGTCAGTTGACTGAGAAGCTGTGCAAGTCTTTATATTAGCTGGAGATGCAACGTGATGTTATTCAATATATGCATAGCTATATTTGGTACCAAGCTCATAATATTTCCCCTTTTGTTACAAAAGGACAGTTGAAGTTGATTGCAGTTTCCTGTCCATTTGAGTTGGTGGCGTTTGATCTAATTGGGCCTTTTCTATGGTCAATTGTTAACAATAAGTAAATCATTATTATTTCTGATTATTTGACTCGTTAGGTGGAAGTTGATGCTCTTGCTAGTGAATTTGCCACTGCTGTTGGTTACTTTCTCCTTAATCGAGTGGTATTCCAGCAATCCTGTCCAAAACAGAACTTTTTGGATAATGGTCTAGCATTTATGGTTAAGGCATTTCACATTTTAACATTTTGTTTAGGGATATATCACACTTTCACAAGTGCTTATCATCGATAGTCAAACGGTTTGGTGGAACAGTTAGTTTGGACCTTCAAAGGGATAATCAAAAAGTACATGAACTTTCAACATTCAGATTAGGATGGTTATTTGCCATTTTTTTGGTATACGTATGTCATAGGGGTGTAAAGTTTCATTAATACTTCACCATATAAACTTTTATATGGTCATGATCCAATACTATCAACTGAGTTAGGTTTACCTTTGCGATTGTTATAGGTTGCCAATGCTAGATTGTGAGATTAATATTTGACAAGCATTCTTCCACTTATTTGAGCAGAATCTACTGAATATCTGGGCCACATACAAGTGGGACAACAACAGCATTACAACTCCTATCATTATCTATCTGCAAAGTATAAAGTGGATGATTTGGTGTTAATCCAATTTCCTAATCTTATGGTATGTGGTTTATCTAAAGGGCTCCTTTCTTAGTGGAAAGGACTGTATTGGGTGCTGCGGCAAATGGGACTACAAATTTATAAGGTTCAACATGACGTCCAGCAAGCCAATCCTCTAAAAATTGTGCATATGCAATAGCTAAAACACTTCATATATAGGGATCAAGAACAACTAACACCACTTATAGATCTATCAATGCCTCCTCCTGATGTTCCTCCAAATCTCAACCCATCCACAAGAGAACTTTGATGGTCTTCTATCATTCCAAGAGGAGGGGATGATGTGAAGTCTAAGTGTACAATTATAATGCCGTATACTATTTATATAATTTAAATTTAGCTTTTGCATTATCTAAATCTCATTTTCCTTATAACTTTCTCAATTTCTTTTCTTTTGTATTTTTTTTTTTTTTTTTTGTCTTCATGGCAAAGCAATAGCCCCCTCCTTTAACTCTAAAGTAACAATTGGTGCAGTTACAACTAAACAATCAAACTCAATTTATAATAGCGTTCACAATACATAGTATAACTTCTCTTTCTATTACTACTAATCCTTGCGTTTAATTGAATTTATTTAGTGGGAATCTTTAAGATGATGTGTACCACTGGTTTAATCACTTTACAGTAATTACTACTTATTATTCTTTGGATGATGTTCAACATTTGCATAAGTTTACTACATATCTTTAAAGGATAGTATAAAATGAAAGGTCAAATGTAATTAAGATATGCAAAAGTTAAAAGAATTATCAACAACTCTTTGAGATTCATAAATGCTCATTTGTTGTCTTTAGATCAGATGAAAGATAAAGTTGACAGCTTTAACAACACTTGCAACAGTGTAATAAAATAAAAAAGATGATCAATAAAACTATTAAAATATTGCATTGTGTAAAAAGTATTATCATTTACACATTTTGGAGTAAGGAACTTTAAAACAATCACAAATTTGTCAAAATTAATTTGCAAACTTTTATGAAAAATATGGTACTCAAGATAAATTTTGTTCTTAGACTTAAACTACATTTTTGCCCTTGTTCTTGAACACGGGCAACAGCAATATCAACTTTTATCAAAACAGGATCATCTCATATAAAAATTGAAGCAAAATTAAATGCAATGATATGTGGAAAAAATAATATTTCATAACACTGTGTTAGTCAAAGTGCATTATCAAAAGTGGTTAAAGTAAATGCATGTACAAATTTCACAAAATCACTTCTTAAGTACAATCAAAACTACCCCTTAATGTAAATGCATGGAATATAAAAATAAAATAGAGAAATATTTATATTAATTAACCTAAAAAATTTAGCTTATTCAAGAGCAAATGGTCTGGATTAAAACCAATCAAAATTCCACTAAATTAACATTACTTCGACTTTAATAGCAGATAGTGTAAAAGTTTTATTAATAAAATAATTATACAATATGTTCTCGTCATCAAGTAAATACTTTAAAAATCTCTAGGGAAACGATGGGAGGAGATGGAGCTGGGATTGTCTACTGCATTGCGAGCCTGGACACCAAAGGTAAGGAGCTCGACTATCTCATCAAATGCATCTGCGAAGCCTTGGATCTCTTCCACGCTCAGGTAGGCTGCATTTTATCTTCCTTACAACTCTTCCTTATGGAAAGGTCTCTCAGGCAAAGATCGTTACCGTAGATGTCTCAACTTCACGAGATCACGACTCCAAGAACACCGGCGACGAGTTTGTCAGCCGAGAAACAGTTCTCTCGCATCACCCAGATGCGAGATCTCGAGAATTATCTTCACTGCCAGCGGAAAGAGGGGCGGCGACTTCCGTCATGGCCGCTGCTCTGGAGGGCTTCCTCAGGACAAAATCCGCAGCCGCGGGGGCGATTGGAGTTGGAGGAAGCGGAGGAACTGGGATGATCTCCCCGGCTCTTAGAAATTTGTCCATTGGAATCCCCAAAGTTATCGTCTCCACGGTTGCTAGCGGCAACACGGCGGCTTACATCGGGTCGAGTGATCTCATATTGGTTCCATCAGTGGTGGACGTTGCCGGGATTAACAGCGTAAGCACCACCATCTTCGCTAACGCCGCAGCGGCGTTTGCCGGGATGGTAGCAGCAAGGGTGCCGAGAAAACTCTCTACTGCTGGAGTGATCCAGGAAAAACTTTCGGCAAGGCCGAGTGTTGGTGTGACCATGTTTGGAGTGACAACTCCCTGCGTGACCGCGGTTCGTGAGGAGCTCGAGCGGCGAGGATACGAAGTTGTTGTGTTCCATGCCACGGGCACTGGTGGAAAAGCCATGGAAAATCTAGTAGCTCAAGGATTCTTCCAGGTTTTTCTTTTTCTACGTTTTTTTCTTTTTTATGATCTTTCACTTCCAGGCAGTGCTCGATCTTACTACCACCGAGGTGGCCGATCACATTGTCGGTGGTGTAATGGCTTGCGATGAGAATCGATTCACGTCAACCGTGGAGAAAAAAATTCCTCTTGTTCTTAGCCTTGGAGCTCTCGACATGGTGAACTTTGGAAGCAAGGAGACAGTCCCTTCGGAGTTTTCTGGACGTAAATTCCACGTCCATAACAGCCAGGTACTCGCTGAGCTCGCTTAACTAAACATTGTTTTCCTTCTCGTAGGTGACTTTGATGCGGACAACAGCAGAGGAAAATCGAAAGTTTGCAAAGTTTATAGCCGAGCGTGTCAACAGATCTTCGGCTCCTGTTCGGATCTTGTGCCCTCTCAAGGGAGTTTCAGCGCTTGACGCCGAAGGCATGCCATTTTTCTGTCCTGAGGCAACAGATGCTTTGCTAGACGAGCTCAAGAAAGAAATACATCAAACGCCTGACAGACAGGTATTTTCGCGAAGTCTTAGATGGTTTCTTACGATCCATCGTCTTGCTCCATTGCAGCTAGAGTTCCTTCCTTGCAACATAAATGATCCCGAGTACTCTCGAGCTGTCGTCGAAGCATTTCTGGAACTCGTGCCTCCCGTTGATCAGGCGAAAATTCCTCCAGCTGATGAACTTGACAATACCTCGACTAAATCTACCAGCGTCACCAGGAAACCTCCACTTCCTAGTATCAGAAAAGACGCAAAACCAGGTAGCTATTTTTGTTTGATCCACTCACGCACACACTGTTTTATCGTTCCAGAAACAGTTCTAGCACGCGAGACAATCCTTGCAAATCTGAAGAAGCAAATTAAAGATGGAGCTCCTGTAATCGGTGCTGGCGCTGGGACTGGAATCTCTGCAAAGTTTGAGGAGGAAGGAGGAGTGGACTTGATCGTCATCTATAACTCTGGACGCTTCCGGATGGCCGGGAGAGGTTCTCTCGCGGGTTTGCTACCGTTCAAAGATGCCAACGCTGTCGTTGTTGACATGGCCAACGAAGTTCTTCCGGTAAGTTTCACTGATTTTTGCTTTTGTGGTGTATGAACGCTCATCTCTAGCTTAAGTTTTACAAAACTGTTTCCAAAGAATTACTTGTTTTTGTCTCCTTACAGGTTGTGAAGAAAACTCCAGTTCTTGCTGGAGTATGCGCCACAGATCCTTTCCGGCAAATGAGTCGCTTCCTACGCGAGCTCGAGCAGATTGGATTTGTCGGTGTGCAAAACTTCCCTACTGTAGGACTTTTTGACGGGAACTTTCGACAAAACCTTGAAGAAACTGGCATGGGATTCGGGTAAGTAGTTTTCGAGATACAATTCTCTTGAGAAAGACTGGAAGAAAAAGAAACACTACTAACACTGTTTAATCACACAGGGCGGAAGTGGAGATGATAAAACAGGCTCACGAAATGGGACTTATAACAACACCGTATGCGTTTAACGAGGAAGAGTCACGAGCAATGGCTCAAGCCGGCGCGGACATAATCGTGGCTCATATGGGACTCACCACCGCCGGCTCCATTGGTGCTAGCACCGCTCTCACGCTCGATCAAAGTGTGGATCGCGTCCAAAAGATCGCCAACGCAGCCTCAGAGATAAATCCAGACATCATAGTCCTGTGTCACGGAGGTACGTGATTTCTTTCGTCAAAACCAGCAAAACTAGTCAAAAATAAATTTTGGAAGATCGATTGATACTGATTAGAATTTTCTTATCAGGACCGATCGCTGGACCCGAGGACGCCAAGTATGTTCTCCAGAGAACCACGGGAGTTCATGGATTCTATGGAGCTTCTAGCATGGAGAGATTGCCAGTGGAGAGAGCTATACGAGAGACAGTGTGCCAGTACAAGGCGATCACAAAATAAACGCTCCAGATTTTGCTCTCCTAAGAGGCGCCAAATTGAACGGCCAGGATTTGACAAGCCGTAAATTTAGAATGTTTAATAGGAAATAGAATATACCACGAACAAATTAAAGCTTCTCCACGTCTTTATCCCGGATGCCGATTGTTTACCGCCTAGGTAGCTTGGAGCCCTAAAATGGGAAGAATGCGCTCACTGGCGCGCCGGGGAGGGATCGGCATTCCACGAGCTTGCAGCTGTTTGAGCTTCGCGATGGATCATTGAGCGGGATCTGGGCGAGGAATTTGCTCGCTTGCGGCAGATCTGGCAGCACGAAATGGCGCATTTTGAGGTAGCTATGTGAGAATTCCCTCGGTTCCATTCCATGGCCTGGAAATACAAGGCTGGATTGGTGCTTCTCTCCACGGTCGTCGTGATATGGGTCACTTCGGCGGAAGTCACACAGGTATGTCGGTTTTCTTTCCTTTTCGTGGACTCTTTCTAAGTCTTTGCCTCGACTTTTTCTCTTTTTCTCTGTAGAAAATTTTCGAGGCTTACAAGCAACCATTTGCGCTTTCCTACTTGGGAGCGTCGCTTATGGTCGTCTACTTGCCGTTGTCGGTGCTCAAAGACTGGATCTATTCTTACTTCCAAAGGCGCTATAGGAAAATTCAACGAGAAAACTCAGATGGTGGTGGTGGCGTGCTGGATTCTCCATCCAAGAGAAACCGCGTCAAGGCCAGTGATATGGAGCTACAGCATCTCATGCTCCAGGAAAATGGGAAAGATCTCGAAGCTCCAGGAGCCTCTGTGAAACCTTCTTTAGCGTCAAAGCTAGCGCCAGAGAAAGTAACTTGGACAGACTGGGATGTTGCAAAGGCATGCCTCTATCTGGCTCCCCTTTGGCTACTCACAGAGGTAACTGGAGATAGAAGCTTTCCTTTGGGATTTCCGGCAGCCAAACTGACGTGTGTTTGTTGTCTAGTACTTGTCGAACGCCGCCTTGGCCCATACGAGCGTTGCAAGCACAACGATTCTTTCGTCTACCTCGGCACTGTTCACGTTAATGTTTGGAACGCTGTTGGGGCAGGACCAGTTTAACGTCTTGAAAGTCGTGTCAGTGCTCATAACGATCATAGGAGTGTTCATGACAACACTCGGGCGGACATGGGCGAAGGATGACGTGCAAGCAACATTGTCGAGGTAGCTGATCCATTTTCTTTTCTTTCTCCGCTTTTCCTGAAGTTTTCATCGGTTGTTTTCAAGGCCGAGCAAGCATGACATGGTTGGAGACATCCTGGGGCTCTCTTCGGCTGTTACGTATGGTCTCTTCACAGGTAAGCTGCCGTTTGGAAGGTTTTCTTCCGCTGAAAAGTCCTTGCCGTGTACGCAGTCTCGCTGAAGCGAATAGCCGGGGAAGATGGAGAGACTGTGGATGTCCAGAAGATTTTCGGATTCATTGGATTATTTACACTTATTGGCCTCTGGTGGCTCAGTGAGTATTTCCTTTTTTACTTCTGTTTTTCGCATTCTTTTCTTGCAGAAAGATTAAAACTGGCTTTGTTGTTGCAGCTTGGCCACTTCATGCACTCGGCTTGGAGCCAAGTCTAAGCATACCTCGGTCGGCAAAGGTGGACGAGGCTGTTCTTGCAAATAGCTTCATTGGCAGTGTTCTCTCCGATTACATTTGGTGAGTTTTTGGAAAATGTAGATGGGCATGTCGTCACAAATCTTTGTTTACTTTCTCGCAGGGCATTGTCAGTGGTATGGACGACGCCTCTCGTGGCAACGCTAGGAATGTCGTTGACAATACCCTTTGCCATGCTAGCTGATATGGTTGTCCATGGACGCCATTACTCGGCCATTTACGTTCTTGGCTCGGCTCAAGTAAGTCCAGTGCTGGATAGATTTTGTGTCTGATTCCAGCGTTTGATCGCCAGGTTTTTGCCGGATTTATGGTTGCCAACCTGACAGATCACTGCTCGCGGAAGATCGGTTTCTGACGAGAAGTGACTTGTATACACAGTTCCAAAAGAGGCTCGCGTTTGTAAACACTGACTGAGTTTTTCTCTCTCTTTTTTTTGTTTCATTTGCTCGGGTGGGAGGAGAGATTTTTCGCTCGCCACCATTCCAAAACTGTAACACGGATTGTTCCAATTGGGAATTTGCACAGTTTTCCGTGTGTTATTTTTCTATATTTTGCTATATTTAAGACACAGTTTTCCGTGTGTGTTTTTTAGCACTTATTTCTAGAAAAAACTTAAAATGTAATAAAAGATTGAGGAAAATGAAAAATGCCGAATTAGGACGTTGATTGGTTTATATATGGCTCTAAACCGGTTAAATACGCTGATTGTCAAATTAGGAGCCGAGAAAAGATGGCTGCAATGTTTTGGCTCCTGGTTTCCGTTTGTTTCTTTTTTCACTTCCAGGTCGAAGCCTCCAAGGTTTGTAAAAAGCTGGGATACCAAATTCTCGAGTTAACATCCTTCGTATTGTATTGCAGCCCGCAAAACTTCACATTGTCTACTTGGGGCATTCGGACCCGGAGTTGCATCCGGACGCGATCGCGGAGTCGCACTCGTCGCTTCTCGCGGAAACAATTGGAAGGTAAGATCGAAAAAAGTTTATCGAGTCGATCTTAGGAGGGAGTTTTCCTTGGCTACACAAACAAAGTTGGCATTGGAACCCTAAATTATGATTTGGATGGAACAGTGAGGACGCGAGCGAGGCGCTCATTTATTCCTACAAGCACGCTTTCAGTGGATTCGCGGCCAAGCTCACGGACGAGCAGGTCGATCGCATTTCTGGTAATTAGCGCCGGCGCTATTGGAGCGATCCAACTCTCTCTTGTTCTTGTTTTCTTGGAAATCCAGGTCTCCCGGGCGTGATTTCCGTCTTCCCCAGTGGCATCTCAAAGCTCCACACGACTGCGTCGTGGGATTTCCTAGGCTTGTCCGTGGATCGCCGCGGGAGGAAGCATTCCTTGTCCAGGGTGGGCGGATCGCTGTGGAAGAACACGGATTATGGCAAGGATGTTATCATCGGCTCGCTTGACACTGGTAAGGTTCTCGCATTCTTCTATCTCGATCTTCTCTTGGATCTCATTCGTCTTGTAAGATCTCTTGTTTGCTCTCGATCTTTTCCTTCGTCTTGTTCCATCTTGATCTTCCTTGTTTGCACTTTCGAAGTTGATCTTTTTCCTTTGTCTTGTTCTTGGCATTCCATTGAAATTTTCATTTCTAGATCTCTAGGATCTTAATGAATATCATGTCGATTGCCAGGAGTGTGGCCGGAGTCCGAGAGCTTCTCCGATGAAGGAATGGGTCCGGTTCCCAGCCGGTGGCGAGGAATCTGTCAAGCCGGCCAAGCTTTCAACTCCACGCTATGTAACAGGTGAGCTACAAACTCCAGGATCGAGAAACTAGACTCTTTATGTTTCTTCTCACAGGAAAATCATCGGCGCTCGATACTATTACAAAGGCATGAGGGCCGAAAACATCTCCGCGGCCGGAGACTTCTTCTCGGCCAGGGACAAGGAAGGACACGGCTCGCACACCGCCTCCACGGCCGCTGGACGATTTGTGCCAAACGTTAGTCTGCATGGCTATGGTAATGGGACGGCCAAGGGAGGGGCGCCGTTCGCGAGGCTGGGAATCTACAAAGTTTGCTGGCCTCTAGGCTGCAGCGAGGTCGACATCCTTGCCGCCATGGATCAGGCCATCGAAGATGGAGTGGACTTGATGACGCTTTCTCTAGGGGGAGATCCAGGGGAATTTTTCTCCGACGCGATAGCAGTTGGCGCCTTCCACGCTGTCCAGCGAGGGATCCCCGTGGTTGCCTCGGGCGGTAACGCCGGGCCGACGCTCGGGGTGGTTTCCAACCTTGCGCCGTGGATCGTCACGGTGGCTGCTAGTACCCTGGACAGGAACTTCTCCTCGAGCGCTGTGCTTGGGAATGGTGCAGTGTACAAGGTGACGAACTTATGTTTCGATCGATCGTGGTTTTTACGTTTGCTTTTCTACAGGGTGAGTCGATCTCTTACAAAGAGCTTAAGCCGTGGCAGTACCCGCTCATTGCAAGCAAGGATGCCTTTGCACCAACTTCAAATTCATCGCGCAGGTAAAGCTTTTTTTTGTTTCAGTTCTTTGAAAGGCAGCACTGATTCTTGACGTCCTTTTGGATTGCAGCGAGTTGTGTGTGGTGGGTTCCTTGGATCCCGAGAAGGTGAGAGGCAAGATAGTGGCTTGTTTGCGCGGTGAAAACAGTCGCGTTGACAAGGGCCATAATGTCCTCTTGGCTGGTGGTGTTGGAATGATCCTTTGCAACGGACCGGCTGAAGGAAACGAAATTCTGGCCGATGACCATTTCGTGCCTACGGTTCATGTTACTTATACTGATGGCGCAGCAATCTTCTCGTACATCAACGCTTCCGAGTACGTAAAGCTTCCTTCTTCCAAGCTGACTGTTTTCTTTACGCAGGCATCCAACAGCTTATATCACCCCTCCAGTTACAATGTCAGGTGTAAAGGCTCCTGTCATGGCAGCGTTTTCATCTCCAGGTCCAAACGTCGTTGTTCCGGACGTGCTCAAGGTAAGATACTCGAGATCTCTCCAATTGCTTAGTGACTGTGGCTCCTGTTACGCAGCCGGATATCACTGCTCCGGGAGTAGACATCATAGCAGCGATCAGCCCAGCCAGCGGAGACGGGAGCTATGGAAGCATGTCTGGAACATCCATGTCGTGTCCCCATGTCGCGGGAATGATCGCTCTGCTCAAAGCTTATCACCCAGAGTGGAGTCCCGCGGCCATCAGATCAGCACTGAGCACCACAGGTATGCTACTACAGAGTTCCAAGATGATATAAGAATCTCACTCAATTCTCGTGATAACAGCAACCGTGGTGGACAACAAGAAAAATCACATTCTCACCAACGCTCTGGAGAGAGCCACGCCTTTCCACTTTGGAAGCGGTCACGTCGATCCCAATGCGGCAGCACACCCGGGCCTGATCTACGACGTATCCGAGAGCGACTACATCGCGTTCCTGTGCGACATGTATGATTCGGTCGCCGTCGCGCTCATCACCGGCAAGCAGGGGATAGATTGCAGCACAGTGGCGCAGCCGGCGAGCGCTCTCAATCTCCCCAGCATCACTCTGTCCAACTTGACAGGGGTGAAAACTGTGACCCGGTTCGTGACCAATGTCGGGGATTGCGTGTCGACGTATTGGCCCAAGATCGAAGCTCCGGAGGGCGTGTCCGTGAGTGTCGAGCCGTCCGAGCTCGCCTTTACTCAAGCGGGCCAGACTCTAGCTTTCAACGTTACTTTTAATGCAACGATGCCACGCAAGGACTACGTGTTTGGATCTCTCACCTGGAAGAACTACAAGCACAAAGTTAGAATACCACTCACTGTGAAGGCCGCATTGGCGTGATGGAAAGAACTTCGATTTGATTTGATCCACAACTGTTCTCAATTTGATTCACAACTGTTCTCGATCAGCTTCTCTGGCCTATGCATTTACAATCATCCCTCCTGCAGAGAAAAAACCAGTAACTTAAGAGCTCCTTGATAGAGGAAGAAAAGATATGCGATACCGTTTGGATGAAGGACTTGTCCAGTGAAGAAGGCAGCGTCCTCCGAGGCGAGGAAGACGTAGGAGGGAGCAATGTCGTCCGGCTGCGCAGCTTTTCCCATCGGGCACTGCTCGCCAAAGTGCTCGGTTTGCTGGGGCTCCGGCGACGAAGCTGGGATTAAAGGAGCCCACACTGGACCTGGAGCAACGCCTGGAGGAGTAGCAAGCAACAATTGGTTTGGACAAAAGGTGGACGAGAATTATGAAACAAGGACGAGCTTACCATTCACACGAATTCCTCTATCCACGAGGTTGAGAGCGAGAGACCTTGTGAAGCCGACGATGGCTCCTTTGGTGGACGTGTAGTCGATCAGAGTCTTGTTTCCTTTGTAGGCGTTCACGGAGGTGGTGTTGATGATGCAGCCCTCGCCTTCCTTCATGTGAGGCACGGCATACCTGTGTCGTAGAGAGACAACTCTATTTTGATTGATACTAGAGAGGATTTACCTGGAGAGATAGAAGTGGGAGAATATGTTGGTTCTAAACACGCGTTCCAGCTGCTCCGGCTTGAGGTCCTCGATCTTCTGTACGCGGTACTGCTCGGCGGCGTTGTTGACGAGTATGTCAATCCTCCCATAAGCTTTCACCACTTCGTCAACAATCTAATGCGATCGACAAGAACAAAGCCGAGAAAGAATCGTCACGAAAGTTTCTCTGGAAGTCTGTAAAACTGAATCGGGCTTGCCTTTTTGCAGTTCTCGTCGTAACCAATGTCGCCTGGGATCATGATCGGATCCTTGGCATGCGCGGTCTTGGCCTCCTTGATCATATGGATCGCTTCCTCCGCGTCCTTCTCCTCTTTCCCAGGCACGTAAGTTATGGCCACACTGGCGCCTTCGAGGCTATAGAAATAAGCCACAGCTCGCCCAATGCCGGAGTCTCCCCCAGTTATCAGAGCCACCTTATTCTGTGGGACACACAAGCATCAAATCGACCAAGCTCGAGATTTGAAATAGCAACGACTTAACCTTGAGCTTGTCCGATGGCTTGTAATCCGAGCGCCTGGTGCGAGGATGGGGATCCATGACGTGCTGGACTCCAGGCTGCGACTCCTGCTTCTGCGCTGGGAAGGTCGCCATAGCTCTCGCTCCGGAGCACGATCGAGAAAAGGCCCTGCTCGTTCTTGTGTAAAACCTAGACACAAACGCTCCTCTTCTCGCTGGGAGTCCCCCTAAAACGAGAGCCGCTGCCCTATCAAAGCAATACATGCGCGAAAATCGTTCAAACTCATCATCATAGCAAGCGCAAAAGATTTATTCGCAGGGGATGGCGCCACATCATGCACTGCATGCAGGTATCCACGTGTGATTTTGTTTTCTCGGTTGTATAATCTCATGCCGTTGTAAAAATCTCCAAACTTTGGTTCTAGTTCTCTATATTTTATTTATGTTAATATTGATGAAATTAACGTGATGTATGTGTAAAAAGGTTAAGGGACTAAAGGTTGAAAGCGCTGGATGGTATCGGACGGCTGGTTTTGTATTCCGGATGATATGTCCACCCTGGTTCCTCACTCAATTTAATGCGCAGGAATAATATCCGCAAAAGCAAAAACAAGAGAATCACGTAAGTTTGACTGCTGCTTCATTTCTCCAGCAAGAACACGGAACAAAAATTATAGGGTTCTTCGGCGGTTTCTACCTCCTTCCGGCCAATGGCCGCTGCGCTTAGATGTTTCTGGTGTCTGCTGCCTCTGCTCATCGTCGCCGGCAGGAGTTCGATCGATGACAAAGCGGTGAGTGAGAAAGGGCCGATCACTCAATCGATGGATCGATGGATCGATTGATGGATGGATGAATCGATAATGCGATAATGCAGGTCTATGTCGTGTACATGGGAAGCAAGGGAAACGCGGCCCCGGAGGTGCTGCTCGCATCGCAGCAATCAACACTGATGGATGCGTTCGACAGGTCTGTGATCGAAAAGAAATTTTCATGCGTGTTTAATAAGGACTCACAGTGAAGGTGAGGCGTCGAGCTCCATAATCTACAGTTACAAGCACGCGTTTAGTGGATTCTCGGCCACGCTCACTCGCGAACAAGCGGCTCACATCGCTGGTGTGTATCGATTCCGTTCCTTTTCTTCCTATCTTTTGTTCTAACTCGTTTGAGCTTGCAGACATGCCAGGCGTTGTTAGCGTGTTTAGGAGCAGAAAACTTGAGCTCCATACCACTCAATCGTGGCAGTTCCTCGGGCTCACATCTGGAAACTTTAAGGGAATGTGGGAAGATGGTAGTACTAGCGATGTCATTGTTGGTGTTTTGGATACGGGTAAACTCTTTGCTTAGTTATTTCTGTCACTTAAATGAAAGAAGTGTGTGCAGGCATCTGGCCGGAGTCCGAAAGCTTTCGGGATCACAGCATGGGACCTGTTCCAGAGCGCTGGAAGGGCGAGTGCGAGAATGATAAGCCCGGGCTTGCTGTTCGGTGTAACAGGTAAACTATCACCTTGAAAGCTAGCTTACATGGTGCTTGCTTCTGCTGGCAGGAAAATTGTAGGTGCTCGATCATACTTTCACGGAGCCTTCCATGAAAACAAGAGCGTCGGCGACTACACAAATGCCAGGGACGGCATGGGGCATGGAACTCACACGGCCTCCACAATTGCTGGACGAGTGGTGGATCACGCGAGCTTGTATGGTCTTTGTGAAGGAAAAGCCAGGGGTGGCCTTCCCAAGGCCCGGATTGCGGTTTACAAGGTGTGCTTTTTTGGAGACTGCATGGATCACTCTGTGCTCGCTGCATTTGATGATGCTGTTCATGATGGAGTCGACATGCTATCGGTCTCCTTAGGTGGACAGACAGTTCCTTACGACGAGGACACTATTGCAATTGGGTCTTTCCATGCAATGAGGCACGGGATTCTCGTCTCTTGCTCGGCTGGGAACTCCGGACCCTTCAAATCCACAGTGACCAACGTAGCACCTTGGATTTTGACTGTTGGTGCAAGTTCCACAAACCGGAGGCTTGTCTCGAGTGTTCAGCTCGGTAACAATGAAACATTAGAGGTAACGTTTGTTTTGGTTTGTTATACGGCTTTGAGCCTATCTTTCTTTGCAGGGAACTGGATTGAACGTCAAGAAAATGAAGAAAAATAAATATGGTCTTGTCAACAGTGTTGATGCTGCTCTAAAACACTCATCGAAAGACAGTGCACGGTATGGGGATCTATCTTAGTTTCCTGTGTTCTAACCAGTACGAGCAACTACCATTTTCAGGCTCTGCCTTAAGAACTCCCTTGATTCCTCCAAAGTCAAAGACAAGATAGTTCTTTGCCACCATGGTATTCGTGCTGGTAGCAGGGTCGGAAACAGCAGTGCCGTTTTACGTAACTTGGGTGCAGCTGGTCTGATCCAGGTTAATGAGCTCGCTACAGATGTTGCGTTTTCTTTCGCATTGCCTTCGACACTCATACAAACTGCTTCTGGTGAACGCATACTGTCTTACATCAATTCCACAACGTAAGCTTCCGCAACATGTTGGTTTGCTCGTCATTTCTTTTCCTGCAGGAGACCCACGGCTTCGATTCTTCCAACTCGTACGCTCTTAGACGGCTCTCTCACTCCCGTAGTTGCTGTCTTCTCTTCGCGAGGTCCAAGTGATATGCTGCCGGAAATACTGAAGGTAAACTTTCATTTGTGCTCGTAATGAATCGTGTATCTGATTTTCATATTTTGTAGCCTGACATAATTGCTCCAGGTCTAAACATTCTAGCATCATGGTCACCAGACAATTTTCCCATAAAGAATGTGGATCCCTTAAACAACAGAGGCTCCACAGTTTTCAACATACTCTCCGGAACCTCCATGTCGTGCCCGCATGCCACCGGCGCTGCTGCATACGTCAAGTCCCTCCATCCGGATTGGAGCCCTTCTATGATAAAGTCGGCACTGATGACAACAGGTTTGCCCTCCACATTCTTTCCTTGTCAAAGTTCTAGAGCTAAACAACACTCTTGCCGCAGCGACAAGCTCGAAGCTAAAAGATTACAATGGAAAGACTGCTACTCCATTCGACTATGGTGCTGGGGAAATCAATCCCATCAAGGCCTCCGACCCGGGCCTTGTTTACGACATCTCGACGTCAGATTACGTCCTCTACCTCTGTTCTCTCGGATACAACTCGAAGAAGCTGAAGATCATCACTGGCCTGGCCGAAGTCCACTGCAAAGATAAGCTTCGGCCGCAGGACCTCAACTATCCGACGATCACCATTGCAGACTTCGATCCAGAGACACCACAGCGCGTCTCCAGGACCGCGACCAACGTTGGCCCCGCCGACTCGACGTACACAGCCACCGTGAACGCTCCCAGAGGCATCAACGTTACGGTGGCTCCCCGGGAGCTCAAGTTTGGTCCCAACGCCGCAAAGCTGGAGTACACTGTCCGCTTGAGCGCCGCGGGAAAACCAGCACGGACCTTATCCGGGAGCTTTGCGTTTGGCGACGTGGTGTGGAGCGATGGTGTCCATTCCGTGAGGAGCACCATCACCGTCGGTTTCGCTGACATGTAAAAACCACGAATAATTTGAAGCTGACAACATCTCGTTTTCTTCTCAAGCTGAACCTACGAGACTAAATTATTAGAACAAAAAAGGTATCGTTTCCACTATATTCCTTATTCCAGGTGAAAAGATGGTGTACCTCATAGCTTGTACCATTAGATCACTCTCTTGGTCGAAAGATGGTGTACCTTCTAGCTTGTAGATCACTCACCTTGTGTGAAATTCACTGGACCGAAAAACATTGTCTCCACATTAGCTCTGTGAAAGAAATCTCGAGAGGAAATGGTGTACCTGAGAAGTAGCTCTTAGTTTGCGCCATTGTAGACTCGCACGCGCTGCTGGATCCTCGTCCTGCAAGACGGGCACTCGGCCATCCCCTTCCTCTCGTGCAAATCGTTGCACTTGACGCACACCACCTGGTGAGCACACGGCAAGAACACCACCGAGATCTCCTCGCACAAGCACATGACGCATTCCCTGTCCCTCCGGACGCCCCACGCCATCGGCACCGCGTCCTGCTCGCTCAGGTCCAACAAGCTTAGCTCGCTAGCACCGAACTTGAGCTTGCAAACTTCCTGCTCCAGCTTGTGTATCTCGTCCCTGTGAGCTCGCAGATCCGCCTCGGACTTCCTCTGTATCCTTTCCACTCTTTGCTTGGCTGCCGCTTCGGCTTTCTCCCTGGCTAGTTTCTCGGCCTCCAAACGAAAGAGTGCCTCGTCTTTGGCCTTCTTGTCTTGCCTGCTCCTATCCTGTGTAGTGTTCATGGAAGTTAACATGTGAATACGAGAGGATTGAAGTTCTTACCTCGGCTTGGTGCTGGATTTCCTTCGTTTGCGCCATCTGTTCTTGGAGTTTGGAGAGCTTCCGTCTCTCAGTGGAGAGCTCCTCCTGTAGCTTGGCTCGCTGCTTTTCCCAATTTTGAGCCGTTTTCAGCAGCTTTCGTTCTTGCTTTGAAGCTTTCACGCTGCTCTCGAACGATTCCGAAGCACTCAGCTTGGTCGCCTCTAGCTCCGCACGTAGCTCTGCGTTTACGGCTTCGACTTTTTGGAAACCGACTTTAGCTTGGTCCAGCTGACTTGTCAACTTCTGAAACGAACTTTCGAGCTCCAAGTATTTCTTCTTGTTGCTCTCGCTCGCACGGAAGGCCTCCTCGCGTTCCGCCCTCAGCTTCTTCAGCTCGTTGATATCCTTGCTAAGTCGCTGCGCTGCCTGAAGCACCTTTGCACGCGCCCACTCGGTCCTCTCTTCCAGCTGCCTGTCCAGATCCGTCACCTTCTCCTCAAGCTCCTTTATGGCCTTGCTCTTGCTATCCAATGACTCGAAAAGTCTGTTCACGACGTCGATGCCCCGGGGTATATCGCTCTCGGACGTCACTGGCTTTAGCTCAAGGTACCTTGGATCAGCAGTTAACGCGGGCGAGAGCTCGGTGCACGCAGACAAGCACTCTGTCCGCAACTCCTCGTTCATATCTAGCTCATCTTCATCGTCGCTGCTGAAATCGCAAGTCGGTCTTTGAGGCGTGGACGAAAGATGAGGAGACTCCGGATGAGATGACGAAGAACTCAGAGCGTTGTCTATAGACTCCAAATCCTTGATGGCTGCCACGACGTCCAGATCCGACACGAGAAGGCACCACAGAGCGTCAGGCCTAGATAAGCTCGGTCGATCGCTTCTCACAGCTCCGATCATCTTCGCCAGAGCAAGCCTCTCAAACTCCTCCACCGAAAATTCTCCTGCTGGTACTTTCTTCCGTCCACCGCCACCACCACCTTTCTTCAAGTGGCCTTCGGCAATTTCTATGGTACCCGAGAACCTCACGTAGTTTCCACTCGTGACGATAGCATCTGTAGCCTCTTCCGCGCTGTAACCCATCGCCACGAGCTTTCTCACGCCGGTCTCGATCGTTACCTTGATACTCTCCAGAACTAGATTCTCTAGCTGGGCCTCCGTGTACTCCCCCCAGTCACTGGATTCGCGATACTGGCACCAAGAAACCCCATCGACACCCCTGGAAATTCCGCCCGCCTCGCCACCGCCACTCCCATCTTCCAGCTCGCGAGAACGATCGCCGCGCTTCCGTAATATCGTTCCATTTTCGCCTAGCTTCCTTTTCCCCTTGCTTTTCTTGCCGGGAATCGCATCGCAAGAACTGGCAATCCCGGAGGACGACGACATCGCTCGCGGAGGATCAAAATCTGCAAGAGCGGCAGCTCGAAATCTTGGCTAATCGAGGAGGAGGCGAATCGCATCGAGCATACCGGAGAGGATCAAGAGAACGATCCATGGGCTCCCGAGCAATCGCTCCACGCGCCATAGAAAAAGAGAGGAGAAAGAGAACCCTGCGAGCTTCCGCCCCAGAATCTACGACCTAAAATCTTTTCTAGGGCAACGTGGCAGGGTTGTGTCTCAACAGAAACGGTTGAAAGGCATATTGGTATATGTAACGTGTTTGTTTTTCCATTGCTCCGGAAGTGTTATAGGGCAAGCAGTGATCGGGCATGGCGCCGGGGCAATGGAGAGCGTCACAGCGGCTATTGAGCTCCAGATCATCGGCGCCGGCTCGCATTTTCCAGGTAGAAGCCGGGATTTCGCCGCGCTTGGATTCGTCCCCTTGAGAAGATTTTCGGTGGATTTCGAGCAGGATTCCAGGTGAGAAGAGCTTAAGGCCGCTGAGAATGGAGGCAGCTGTTCCCGATGCTAGTTATATCCCTCACCCCAGCATCACGATGCCCGATACCCCCAATTCCTCTCCTCCAGACTCGCCGACGGACTCGAGCCTATCGTCGGATCCCCCGGCCGTGTTCACTGAGCAGGTTTTTTCTTTCGATTCTTGTGGTTTGTTTTGGCCTCGTCAAACTGACAGCAATGTACTTACAAGCTCTTTGTGCATCTGACTGACATAGCCACCACCAGGAAGATGAAATGCTGAGAGAACTTGTCAAACGCCATGGAACCAAGAAGTACGTATAGTGTTATTTCTTACTTTCAAGCTTTCCTTTAGTTTTTTCTGAAGTGTTTCGTTTATGCTCAGGTGGCATATCATTTCAGCTAAAATGCAGAACAAAACTCCTCGTGAATGCCGAAGAAGGTAACACGATGGCGTTGCTCAAGTTTTTCACTTGCGTTGATATGTTCTTCTGATTTAGGTGGCGAACGTACCTACACATGTGTATGAATAAGAGCAGCTGGAGTGCAGAAGAAGATCGGATGTTACTCGAGGTTTGGCGAAATTTGCAAGTTCCCATAACCAATGACACCGCTTCTGCTTCCAGGGACATAATGCATATGGTAATCGCTGGACTGAAATTGCAAAAATGGTGCCGGGGAGGTATGAGTTTCATTACCCACTGTTTTGACGCGAGACTGATCAAGCTTAAGCTTGCAGGACAGACAACGCTGTCAAGAACCGCTTTAATGCTCTTTGTAAGAAACGGTCGCATCGGGTTAAGCCAGCAAGCCATATCACAGACTTATTAGTTGATCACGAGCACCAGGATGACGCAGATTATAGTAAAGAACCCAAAAGACCAAAGAAGATGCTAGAACACAATGACAACAGGTAAATAGTCGCGCTGTCAATGTTGCCGAGGCTGACTTTTCGTCTGCAGAGAGGATCTATATAATTCTTTCTTCCCTGTAAGCAGAGCATACGTAAAGCAAAGCTTTTCTATCGGGATTCCAGAGAATGACTTTCTTCGTAAGTTGCCAAAACTTGAAAAGGGGAACTGGTCCTCCTCACCCTGCAGAAACACACCCGGGAGTCTGGTAATGAATATCTCTGGGCAGCCATGCTCGCTTGTCTTGTGCTGACCAAAACTTCCTGCTGGCATTCAGATACAGGAGGCGTATCGAGATGTTTCGGTATGTTTCCTGTTGCAGACCCATTGGCAGCACAGCACGAGGTTTGGCTACTCGTTTAACGATCGAGCGCATAGCTAAAGGCTTTTTTCGTTTCAGAGGGAATATGACAACGGCTCTCCAAGGGATGGTCAGGTTGATATGGAGGAGGTGATGGGCTGGCTCATCACTCGAACCCCCACGCCGACGTGCAATGGAAGCGTCCACTCGACCGTCACGTCCTCCACCACGACTTCTCCCTGCCGGGCAACCGAGAGCGACAACGTGAACCAGAGCGAGGCCGTCCAGCATCCAGATGATATCGGAGGACTTGCTTTCGAGTTCCCACACGGAGATGCACACTTTGGTGAGCGCTTCTCTTCGACCTCCTCGTTGTCTTGCTGATCTTCTCGTGGATTTGCGGCCAGGCGATGGACAGTTTATCCCCAAGGACGTCGAAGAACTGGTTTTAGTGTTAGCAGCGGACGGTAGCTCGAGGCCGGCATGGGGTCCAATGGAACAACAGCACATACCTTGCTTACTCAAGTAGAGAGGTGATTCGTTTGGTTCTTATATCTGTACAGGAAGCCAAGCAATTTTGATATCCCCCAAGGCTATCCATAGCTTTGTCAAAATTCGTCCTTGAAAGACACGGATATCCTAGAATATGCTTTCATCGTAAGCTAAACATGTTTATAATATTAAACAAACATTTTAATCATATGAAGTATACGTGTGCGTGGATCTAGGGCGCCAGCGCGGGGATAGGAAATGCGGGCAGTGGTAGCGAAGGGGCTTGGCGGGCCGGAGGTGCTCGAGCTGCGCGAGGTGCCCGATCCTGATATCGGCGACGACGAGGTGCTCATCAAGGTCGCGGCCGCGGGAGTGAACCGCGCCGACCTCCTGCAGCTCAAAGGCCAGCACCCTCCGCCGCCGGGAGCCCCACCCTACCTGGGCCTCGAGTGCTCCGGCGTGATCGAGCGCCTGGGCGCGCGCGTGGATGGATGGAAAGTCGGGGACGAGGTAAAATGCGCTGAGCCAAGTTGAATTGAGCACTAGTGTCCCGCGAGGTTTCTAGGGGATAGGATGGGATGGGATGGGAGAGAGGATTCCAATCCGGATAGGCGGCGATGGAGCGAATGGGGCTCACACATCTTAGTTCTTATGCTGTGAGTATGGTGCTCGCAGGTGTGCGCGCTCCTGGGGGGCGGGGGCTACGCCGAGAAAGTTGCGGTGGCTGCGAGCCAGCTTCTTCCAATCCCGCGAGGGGTCTCGCTGCGTGATGCCGCGTCCTTGCCCGAGGTTGCGTGCACGGTGTGGTCCACCGTCTTCATGGCGTGCCACCTCTCCGCCGGGGAGAGCGTCCTCGTAAGTTAGAACTTCTCTAGAGATTTTTCCATCGCTTAACACACATGCTGTGCTTGGTGCAACCAGATACATGGCGGCAGCAGCGGGATTGGCACCTTTGCCATCCAGATGGCGAAGTCGATTGGAGCCCAAGTCTTTGCTACTGCTGGTGAGTCCCCGTGATCACGTCCTTCTAACCAGTGGGGGCCGGCTCAGGATCGGAGAAAAAGCTCGACTTGTGCAAGCAGCTGGGAGCGGAGGTGGCGATAAACTACAAGGAGGATGATTTCGTTGCGCGCGTGAAAGAGGCCACCCACGGGGAAGGTTAGCCTTTGCGTGATGTTTTGAGTGGCGGAGCTCTAAGATTATCACTGGATACCTCTCGCAGGTGTGGACGTGGTACTGGACATGGTGGGAGCGTCTTATTTCGAGAGGAACCTGGAGGCCCTCGGCATGGATGGGAGGCTGTTCATAATCGGCTTCCAGGGCGGGGCCTCGGGCCAGCTGAGTTTGCTGCCGATACTGAAGAAACGGCTGATAGTCTCAGGTAATGCGGGAGAGGAGGGTCTTTCGCTTTGGTTGGCTGAGAGTGTTATTTGAGAACTTGGCAGCCGCGGGATTGCGGACTCGAGCTCCAGAGAGCAAGGCGCAAATCGTAGCGGAGGTGTGGCAGAATGTGTGGCCGGCGGTGGAGGAACGCAAGGTGAAGCCGGTGATTTACAGGGTTTTCCCGCTGGAGGAGGCGGCCCAGGCCTTGCAGCTCATGGTCGCCAACCAGCATTTCGGCAAGATCTTGTTGACGCCCTGACCTCGGCCATCTTTCTATTATGTGAATTATGTGAAATGTATATGTACATGATAGGGATTAAGCAATTACAATGCAAGATTTTCAAGTGAGCACGCTACTCATGGTCCCTCTACCTCTAAAAAGTCATTCCCATGAAATTAGAGCCACCCTCTATGCCTTAAAGAAAACAAGGAAACGTCGATTATAAAAAATTATAATAAGAGAAATTTAGGACTTGGAGGATGAAGCGACCATGGCCCCAAGAGCAAGACTTTGTTTTTGGTGAGAGCGTGCAGGAGCGCGATGCGCTCGAATCGAGGCTGGAGGCGGTCTACACTCGTCTTGGTCCATCCGGCACCAGGCTTGCCATCGATGCCAACTTCATCTGGGACACGAGCTCGGTGCTGCACCTCGTCCCGCCCACCAGGGACGCCGCTGCCACCTCCTACAGCTATGTGGGGCGAGCCCTCGGCGAGAAGCTCTACACGAGAATCCTAGCCCAGGTGCCGCTCCGGCCGATGCAAGTCTTGGGCGCCAAAGGGTCCGGAAAGAGCAGGGTGGTGAGCACCATCGCGGGCTATCTCGTAGCGTCGAGGCAGCGCCGCGTGGTTTACATCCTCGGCAAGCGATTCGTGCTGAATCCACATGCTGTGCTCGCGGACGCGCTGCTCCTGGCGTTTGGGAGGGGCGGGAGAGATGGCGAGCTCGCCAAGCTGGAGAATCTGGAGAGTCTTGTTCTCTGGTGCCGGGCTCAGAAGAGAGGCTCGCTGCTCTTCGTGGTAGACGAGTGGGACATCTTTGAGAAAACTGGATCGCCGCTCAGAGACACGCTGCAAGAAGCCACCATGTTTCAGGTCCTCGTCACGGTCTCGTCCGTCAGCAGCAGGCAGAGGCAACTCTGGGAGGACAGTGACAAGGCCGACGAGGAGATGGAAACGTTCCACTTTGACGGGCCTTACAACAGCAGCGAGCTCGCGACTTGGATTGCGCAGTCGAGCCTCGACGGGGTCTCGCAGCTTCAGGGCTTGGAGCGCTTGACCGGTGGAATGCCACTGCTGCTGCGTTTCTACGAGGACGTCAAGGGCAACGAGAAAGACTTCGTGGGAAGGATCCAGGCGGCATATACGCACAAGCTCTACGGCAAGTTCATCGGGAATCTCGTGAACCGGAGGGAGCTATCGGCTGGAATGGCACTGGTCGTTTCTGGAGAGCGCGGGCACTTACTTAGGCAAGACAAGGTGGACATGACGTGCTTCTACTACGATGAGAAGGAGCAACAGTTTCACATCCTCAGCTCTTTCCTGCGCTCGCAAGCTGAGAGCTACATCATGGAGCAGCACGAAAGCTTGCAAAGCTCGCTCCAGCTCTCGGACGTCCAGAAGTGGGCTGCGGCTGTCAGGCTCGACTGTGAGCAAGACCAGGGCCCGAGGAACTCGGCGCGCGTGGGGTGGAACGTCGAGGGGCTGGTCATCGCTGTGGTGCGCTTCCAGAAGCGGCTTTTCGGTCTCGACTTCAAGCACTACAGAGTGTACCGTCACGGCTGCGAGAGGAACGTTGTCTCGGAGCTGACGATGGAGGAGCTTGTCGAAGGCGTTCTTCTCGGCCCTGCGGCTTTTAGTGAGAAAGCGGTGGACCTGATCCTTCTCAAGCTGGAGAGAAATGGCACTCTAAAGATCATAGCGGTGCAGATAACTGTGGCTAGCTGGAAGACCAAGAGCAAGAAACGAAGTCACGAGGCCTGGAAGACGGAGGTGCTACCGAAATGGATTGTCAAAGGCAACCAGGCGATTCAAGATGACTACTTCGACGTCATGCCGGAGAGTGTTGCATCGGATGGCGACCCTGCGAGCTTGAGGCGATTTGCCAACGTGGATAAGTGCCTCCAAGAGTTTGATCTGCTGCTGGAACTGGCCGAGCCCAACGAGCGTGCCAAGAAGGAGCTTAAGCGGTGCAAGGGTCTCACTGCCAGCAACCAACCGTGCAAGAATCAAGCTCGCTGCGACACGGGGGATTACTACTGCAAATCCCACCAGAGCCAGAAAAGCTAGCTTTGAATGCGTGTTTTGGATTGTCACACGACTCTTTCAAATACCCTGTCGTGAATTCCCAACAAGTTTTCCCTCCACAGGGTTGCCACAGATGTTGGTTTTTGGTATGTTGGCAATATGTACTACAGAAAATAGTGTTTTGTATTGTTTGACAATTGTAAATAATCATAGCTGTTTTTCCTGTTCTAAATTCTAGTTCTTTCTCTTTTGTGTGTGTAGTATTGCATTGCTCAGAGGTTTGTCTTTCCTTATGCAGTTAATCATACGTAACCAAATCATGAATCTGATACATTTGTACAAACAAATACAGAGAAAGATAGCTTAATCACTGAGCTGGAGAAGCATGGCGACCCCTCTTCGTATCCAGTGATCCGGCGGCATGTCCGTGGGGAGCTCCACATTAAACACAAAGTTGGAAGAATGCCCGGTGGTGGCCAGCACCCCGCGCCTCTCGGCCGTCCTGTAGAGCGGGCAGTGGTAGCACGGGAACTCCTTCTTCTTGGACACCTCGCACGGCGACAGCCAGATCTTGGGAGCCGGCGAGTACAAAACCTTTGGCAGCGACTCGGCCAGCATCATCTTCTCAAAGTCCCAGCGCGCGCCCTCGAGGAACATGCCGTAGATGTAGCACCCGTCCTCGGGCTTCTTGTCCTGCTCCAGGCTCGCCGGCAGGCACTTGAACTCGAAGCACACGTTGTCGATGGGGATCTTGTACTTGCGCGCGTAGTTCTGGAGCACGCCCGTCAGGAATGCGTGCGTGAAGAAGAAGCCGCTGATCCAGAACTGCGGCGGAGGACCCCGCTCCGACCACACCTGGAGCATGTTGAGGCGCTGCTGGAGGTCGGCGACGTAGCTCGTCAGCGGCTTGAGCGATGGATACGACTTCCCGGCCCACATCGCCGGGATCTTGCCGATGTACATGCTGTTGGCCAGCTTCTCGATGTCGGAGGACATGGCCACCAGGCCCTTGAGCGTCCGCTGGAGCGTGTGCAAGCTTGTTCTGATCACCTGGAGACAAAGCCTGCAAGTGTGAGGAAACAATGCTTAGATCAAGGGTACCTCGGTTAAGTTGTTGTAGCGGGTCATCTCCTGGTGAAGCACCGAGTTCATGCTCTCCTCGTACCTCACCGGAAAGCGGTAGCGAGCCAGCTCTATGTCGAAAGGCGGCGGGATCCTACTGGCCTGGTCCTTGGCCAGCTCCAGGAGAACTTCCTCCTTGCTCTGGCCACCACCGCTCGAAGTGCTACTCTGCCATCACAAAACGTATACATACGTGTAAGTTTTGTTTGCAAGATGTGAATTCCTTGTTACCTGTGTTGAGAGAATTGAGGACAACAGGAGATCAGTTTCTTGCTGATCTTTGGTGATGTCCGCATTCTCGTGCAAACCAAAAGCTTCCGGGGATGCTATCAACGGAAACTGCTTTATATGCTCGATGTACTCGTCGTATTCGAAATCCGGGGGCGCATAATAGATACCGGATGGCGAAAAAGCATAATCGTCTTCCAGGATCTCCGGAGTATACAGAACGGCCAGCAATGACATGAGAGTTCTCCTGTCGTGTGCATCTGTTACTCGACCTCCGTAGTTGCATTCACCCGTGAGATACACAAGTGCCTGAAAACACATCACAAATGAGTAATCTTGCTGAGGTAAGCTTTTGCTCACCTTAAACGGAACGACGTCCGGAAACTCGATCAAAAATGCCTGTAACTGTCTCATACTGATCTTGAGATCAGGATCACTGAACTGGTAAGGAATGTTCCAGCCAAGCGGCCCAAACTTGACACGTTCCTGTACCGACGCATGGAAGAAGCACAGGCCAAACAACATTTTTCTCCACACAGGTCCTTTCTCTCCTTGGAACTCGAAAAAGGCCGGGTCGCTGATGGGATAGCTCTGGTAACTCTGCATTCCAGCAAAAAGTTGCATTACAGGAAACTGTCGAAAAAGATGGCCAAACCTGGAGCATGTTTGCTCGCAATCCTTTCGGAGATTCATTAGTCATCTTGATACCACTCTGCAGGATAGCCACCGGGAAGTGTTCAGCTGGATAGCTTGTTAGCCACAGCCGAAATCCCGCATTCGTGGTATCCGGACTCATGCCTTCTGATATACGCTCTAGCTGTGGCATCCATGAAGCTGCCAAATGACAGTTTTGTAGCACCACCCAGAAACCAAGTTGCATTCCCATTTGTATCATCTGAGAAGCTTTTGGGCCTTGGCCTTGTCCAAGTGAAATACTTTGAACCTGTGAGTATCAAGTATACGTGAAAAAGTGGATCAAAGACAGTAAAAATGTCCTACCTCCTGTTTGATCTCCTCTGCGAACTTCAGCAAAGCTGCCATTGGGTCCGATCCAGGCGAAAGTACAAAAATGAGCGGAACAACTGGAGTCGAGTCCTTATATGCACCTTCCAAGTCGAATGCTGGAGGCTCAACATACCTCTGACCCATTGTCTCCAGAACAAACGTGTTGATACCCGTAACAATTTTGTCTGGCCGTATCACTCGCAAGACAAGTAGTTTCTGGAACGGATTGAGGGTTGTACCCCAGTTTCCAGGAAGTGGTTCTTTGTGAGGCTGAGGACTGTCATAAATATGTTTCCACCTCTCTGAATCTTCTTGAAAGAATTTGCTAAAACCCTGTCAAGGACGTGTTAGCCGGCGAAAAGAAGTTCACAAAAACGTACCGCAAACGCTGGAAACTTGGAAAGTTGAACCATTTCAAGCCAGAGCTTGTCTGCCAACCATTTTGATGGATTCTTCGGAGGATCTCGCTCCATAATTACAGAGCCAGCAATTAGAAACCTGAACTCTTCGGCGTTCAGCTGCTTATCCTTCTCCATGAGAGTGGTACAGATTAAGAAGGACAAGAGTAGTTTGTCCTTCTCAAAAACGCTTCTTGAGACACTGCAGTAGAGCAAAAACGTGAAGAAGTCATTGAGAATGGTTATCCGTTTGTCAAGCACGTCCGATTTCTCGGAGTCTTTCATTGCCTGCTGAAAAAGGTTGAGATACCTGCACAGGTAGCAAGCAAATAAGATGCTGCACTGAAAAGAAAGACAGC